ATTATCATACGACAACATACAATTATTACGATAGGACGGAAAACTATTATTACTATAGGACAACAAACCATTATTATGATTGGACAACAAACCATTATAGTTACAGCTTAAGACGATACAACAATATAGTGATCGATGATTACATTTGGTTGTTCACGTCATCTCCTATCCATGACTGCTCACATCAACTATAACACATTTCATATGATGTTTTTAAACAATCTCAGTACCATAGAAATTTGGCAACAGGCAAAGTCTATGAAATCCCTTTCGTTCTTGCTTAATGCTACTTTTCAATTCATTCGTTCAAAGTATACCCTTTAGCGTCAATAGAACGTCAAGTACATTTGCATATTCTATACCGTTCCAATTTTAACAATTTATTTCCTTAACAGAAATTAAGAATGACAATTCAATCGATAAAAACTGTTCAGTAGTAGAAGTGTCTATTCATATGTGATTTATACAACGAGTGTCAAATCATTTCCCAGATCTACTGACGAGAATAAAAACGTAGTATGATATAGGAAATAATGAAAAGATATATTAATTACACAACATAGATTATTTTTACAAATATTCATGGAAAACAACATTTTTAATAGTAATTACCATAAATTTAGTATGCAAATGCAGTACCTGCTCCTATCTTTGTAGAGGTCGTTCAGATCGTTTCTGAGACTTTTCATTATTCAATTGGTGTTATTTTGCATATCTGGTCAGGTTTTTACGATTATTTTCTTTGTCTAATTGTTGTTGTGCCATTTTTCGGTTGCTTTCTTTCCTCTACGTGTCGCCCTTGTAACGAGAGGCGGTATGTGGGCCACTTATGTAGATCTGCAGGATGCCTTTTTCCAAAAAGTTCCTCCGTTTTACTTGCAACTGGAATGTCTTCCAGTACCGGGCCATGCCATCAGGGCTCACAACTGCAGCTGGTGTCTTAACCAAGCTGCTGCAGGTGGTCGTGATATTCCCTCGTGCATATTGAGGGAATCTATGGTGAAGGACACCCGTTTGGTCCTAAAAGTCTTACTCAAGGTCGGCTTCATACCTTGCAGAGAAAAGTAAGAGGTTTCCCCATATCAGAACATCGTTTTCCTGGGTGAGGAATCGTTTCAATACGTTTCCAGGTGGGTTGGTTTCTCAGCTTTTTGGGTTACCTAAGGGAGGTCAGACCTCTCCGGTTGTTTTCTCGTGACCAACTGAGTTCCTTCTTCAAGGGATAGCATGGCTTCCTCTAAACCAATCGTTCATGGAGTTTGCTCGTTGGGTTCTTTTGTTCCATCCATTACCGTGTTCAAGGTCATTGCTGCTCCGGGAACTGGTCTAGGAAGTAACTCTCAGAGCTCATCAATATGCAGTCCTTTCGAGGGATCCTACATTCAACGAAATTTGTGTGGCTATGAACAACTCAACAGCTTTCGCATATATGGAGAGACAGGGGGCATCAGGTCTCACATTCTGTGTGCCCTCGCTATCGCATTCTGCTTCTGTCCAGGCAGACTGAATGGTTGTTTTGGCGGATACTCATTAACAAGCCGTTCGAGGCTCTTCCTTGAAGTTTGTCTTTCTGGTCGTCGGAGGAGTACAATCCAAGCATTGTCTTCTCTTCCTTCTTGTCTACGCTGGTACAGGGGCTAATCAGGCGTTACCCTTCTGACTGATCCTGCTTTTATGACTAAGAATCAAGGTCGTGGGTTCTCGTCTTCTCCCATTAAGGTTCCTATCTTGACGGGTCCTGAGGAGGGGGATATGTTGTTCTGTCACAGTTGGGCGCTTAAGTTTCACTCCGAATAAAACCCAAAGGGATGTGGTGCCAAATTTCGTCTGATTTTGCGTATTCAACAAGGTCGTCATGATATCTCTTCCATTCTGTGTCTTGGTGGATTTGCCAAGTCATCAAGTATGTTTATGATCATTCTGATCATCTGACTCGGGCGAGGTTGAAGTTACGGGCTCATGAGTTTTAGGCCCTCGCTGCATCTTGGGTCCTCCTCAATGGTTCGCCCTTAAAGGATGCCATGTCCACAGAATCTCGGTGCGGCCAGAATACTTTCACAGATTTCTATCTTGGGTCTTTGGCGTCTCATTCCGATGGTTTGTACTCCCTCGGACCTTTGGTAATGGCTCAGACTGTGGCTGACCCTTCAGTCTAATTTGGTTCGTTTTTATCCATTTATGATAAGGCGCCACATAAGGGCACCTACTCCTTCACGCTGAGGTAGTTTCAATTTTATCTCCTTTTAAAAAACTATTTGTGGGGCTCCCTGAACCTTTTCCTCTCTTCCTGGAGTTGTCTCTATGGAGTCCCCATTCCGCCTCTTTTCTTCTCAGGCTCCATAAAGGTTATTGATGAAGAAGGATCACTCTATATCTCAGTCGAAATATTCTCACTCTATTTTCATTTCTCACTATTGTTTGATGATATCTTGCCGAAAATCATGATCTTGGGAACAACCACTGCAATATCGAACCAACTTGTAAACATCATAAGTTGGGAAAATTTCAAAATTATAACCAATGTTTAGTCACAAAAATGTCTGTGGTAAATCTTCATCATAATTATGAGTTTTCTCCTTTGTCTTTGAAATAAACAGAAACATAGGTAAATAATTGGATACGATTTTCTTCTATTTCTAATACAATTTTTTTTGCCAATTAAAACACACCTTTCAAATATAGATAACATATCAATACGGTAACATCTAACCATGTAAACATGCAAAACCCCAACAGCAGACAGAATCGTAATTGGCCTCAAAATCGATAAAAGTAACAAAGAGACAACAAACAAACAAAAGACAAACCCTTATCATTGATCGATTATTACACGTTTATACCTGCAGTACACAATACATGAATAACGATTGAATCGATGATAAAGTGTCCAAATCTTTATAAAGCCTAAATCAGAAACATTTAAGCGAGATGTCTTGACAAACTGGCCTGTGATCTCTCCGACAACGATTTCATATTTTTTCTGCCTTTTTTAATGTAATGATTTATTTAATGTGTTTTTGAAACAGAATCATGGACTGCCAACATGTTTGAAATGAAAGTTATTGTGCAAATCGATTACGTTAATGGGCGTATGTTTAGGATGATGTAAGAAGTGAAACTATCGACCGCTCACTAAGGAAACAAATTGAATGTTAACCGATTACTGGGTTTGGACACGTTATAATCCATTCTTTGTATCAAGGAAATTCATTGTGAAATTCTATAGGGATATTGATTACTTTGTTAAAGACAAACAAGCTAACTATAAAGGGCAAATATATCTGAATTTCTTAAACGACTTGTGTTCAATTCGTACCATATGGTGGTACTTAGTTTGAAAGGATGCTTGATGAAACGACAAGTGACAAGTTCAAATCTGTAAGTACACTTATTTTCAAATATTTATTTCTGATATCGAAAACGTATATCTAATGATTATGTTGTAACGTTTCAAGGTTTTTAACTTTATTTCAAAAATAAGAAAGCTACACTGCTGCAATCACGGTTAGATTTATCTTTTATTATCCAAATAAATCACATTTTTAGCTCATCTTTTAATTTTTGTATTGGATAAATAGCTTTCACAACTGCAAGTCATAATTTGCGTTTCCTATATGATATTTTTGTATGATATTTCAATGACAGCTGCTTTTACATTGGAATATTCGAGAAAGTCATAACATTAAAAATGGTTATGGCATTTGGATAATAGTTTTAAATACTGAGAAAACAGGATGACCTGAAAAACTTGTATATTTTGAATGCTGACACACAAACGTGGTGATAACAAGAGTCATAAAATGAACGATGCATTATTGAATTTTAAATGTTATTTGAGATTCATCTCTGAATCCATTTCTCCATCCGATTGTTTATCCCGAACAACAACCTAAAAACCATTCAACTTATTTCACTAAAACATTTTACGTATATCATGCTAGCTGTGAATTTTGCTTTGGCGAGTTTTTGTTAGCAATATGTTACTGTAAATCCTTATTTTTTCGCGTGGATTTATTTAGTTGAAAGGTACTCCTAATCCACGAATCCGTGTTCATGAACCGTGAAATAAGTCAGTAAGACTATTGGATAATACTTATCAACAAAACCAAGTGCCAGTGAAGTAGTGATTTTTCGAAAAATAACAAAAATTAAACTCCATGGAAATATTTCATTTTATGTTATCATCAATACAAATTTTTTATTAAGGACTGCGCTTCAAAAACCTCTTCATGCTCTTTATTAGTAGTCATTAGTAGCAACAATTGTTCAAACATGCTATTTAACGTTAGTAGGTTTTTTCCGAGTTACAACTTGAAAACCACCGTGTGACTCATCTTGTATATAAATGTCTGTTTGAAAATTCATACTTACAGCTGGGCGTTCGGGATAATGCCACACTTCGTGGCTTTTTTTTTTATTATTTAGCTCCAGCATGTGTTAATATTTGTAACTGTCCTGGCACCCACATACTGACGTCACTTACAGTAAGAATCTGGTCGATATATTAGATTTGGTTTCATGAACGAAGTTTGACTTGAAGAAAAGGATTTGAAGATTCAAAAAATATCCCACTGAAAGATATTTATGGTAACAATTCCAGCATAAAAATATACATAAACATACATGAAAGAGTTATTAAGAATTCTGATACTATTCGTAGTCAGCGTGTATTTGTTTTCAATTGCTTGTGATAGGTAACCACAACCAGTAAATATGAAAATAGTTTTCTTAAGAAATATAACTATACACTTAAAGCTGAAACGCCACATATATTATTAACTTTGCATGAAAACAAATATTTAGTATTCGCTTATAAAAGAAAAGTTTGGATAATTTTTGGGGTCTTTGATGAATCCTGGAATGACAAAACAGATATATGATGCAAGATTCATTAATTATTTGGCTTTACTGTAAATTTGTAGTTTAAATTTGCTTTATAAAATGTTATTTTGGTTTTTTTTTTTTTTTTTGTATCTTGTTCTTTTTTGGTGTTAAAGAAGATGATCATGAAAATGGCGTGGATAGCTCTCGTGGTTTTGATATTGCAAACACCTGATGCACACAGCGTATTGAATGGTTTGACCAACTACGTACCAGGTAAGGGCACGTTTACACAGAAGAAAAAAATGTTTCTGTTGTATTTTGTCACGAATTCATATTTATTAAATAAATAACTACAAGTGAGATTCTTTAAACAAAAGTCCACGTGTTCACGAAATATTTAAAAAAAAAAAACACTCACAAACACACCCTCACACACACACACACACACACACACACACACACACACACACACACACATACAAATTGAGCAATGTGACAAAGAGTTTTATGAAAGTCAGATATGTGAAAATAACATATACCACAATGTAGACATATTGCATAACATCATCAAATCTTATAAGAAGTGAACTTTGCTCTTCTAGAACAGATGTTTGCGATGTAAACAATATCTTCAAAACGTTAAAGGTAAAACTTGTGTCAAATATTATTTTACTTTCTACGCAATAGTTTTACATCTTTAGATGTCTACAACGGAATACTTCTCCACTACACAACACCATGTCGATATATCATTTCAATTTATTACTCGCGCGTTTTACAATTAATGATAGTTTGTGCAAAAATCAATTCAATCTATGATGTTACATGCATGTTCTCTGGCGTGTGACTTCAGTATTTTTGATTATCTAAAACTATTATTTGGGTGTCTATAGTGTGTGGTACATATATATATATATATATATATATATATATTTAATATTTTCGTCATTCCTCACAGTAACAACAACAACACTGGATATGCTGTTTATCTTTGACTCGGCGAATGACGAACTATTTGAACAAGCAAAACTCTTTACTGTCGATACACTAGCCGCTGCTGACATTAATGGCGACTTGGTGCGTGTTGGTCTCATGACCCTCCATAATCAAGTCTTTTATCTTCATAAAGAACTGGATAATGATATGAATAAAGACACTCTTATAAATGTTATACTGAATCTGACGGCACAGGCACCAAGTAGCATATTGATTACTGACTTCGAGGGGATTTTCAGCGAGACAAATGGAGGACGTCTTTATGTAAAGAATATAACAGTGGCATTTGTGTCAAACTATACCGCTGATGATATCACTAACGGCCTGCAGATTCTACAGAATAAAGAGTTTGATAGTGAAGTGAACATCGTTGGGCTACAACTGTACAACGCAACTAATATGATGTCTTACTCCAGCCATACATACATCACTGAAGATATTAAACAACTAGGCAGCTTCACAGCTACAATATTTTTCCAAACTTTTACAGACGGTAGGATATTTAATTTTGCAACGATACCATATATATAGTATATGCATAATAGACAGCACGTCGTCAGAAATACCCTGCTGTTATAAGTTATGTGTAACATATGTCACGATTTTCGCTTGTTCTGACCGGGTAAGAGGTCGAAATATAATATTAGATAATATATAATGTTTTTTGCTAGTTTATCGTCGTCCTATAACAATCGATTTGTACATATTTCCCGACATTACCATTAGTCTTTATCACTTGTTCCGAAATAAACTATATATTAATTGATATTTTAATTTCTAGAAAACAAAAAGCAAGTTAAGATAACAAATGGTGAAATATATAGCAGATCTCATTTGCATTTTTCTTTTTTCTTCTCCTTCTTTTTTTCTCAGTATATTCATTTCCTTTTTTTTCATATAGGATATTTTACTGTATCAACCCCCCCCCCCCCCCCTTTTTCCGTTTTAATGCAAGATCATGGCTTCAGGGCTTCGGAATGCCTCTTATTGGGCTCATTTAATAATATTTAATTTATAGGAGCTCAACTACTCGCAAATAACAGATAAGTATTAAAGCAACATTTGTGAATTCAATACTGTAACTGTCTTTCTAAATAAAGGATATTCTAGATTAAATCCATACATTTTTAAGAATTTTGAATTTTGTACTGATAAGAAAATGAACACATATCTAGAATATGTTTTTGTATGAATATTAATAAGACTATTTCTATACTAGAATATACTAAAGCTTAATAAACAAATAATTTCTGTATACGTTATATGAAAATTAAGGATTTTTTTATTCCGTTCAGTATGGTCTTTTATCTTTTATCGACCCAGTAGGACAATTGACCTCACCAAAGGTCCATAATTGATAAATATCTTCAACTAGTCTCTTCCTTATTCACTAATAGTATAAAAGACACAAACAAACGCTGTGTCGTTAAGATATTATGTTTAAGATCTGTGACCAAATAACTGGACATGCTTCCGTCAAATATATACCTGCCATGCTTCAGAGAGAGTCGTCACCGATGTTAGACAATTCCTTTCACATTTTTCTTTAATCCAGATTGTCAATATAACCGCCCAATACAGACAACAACTGCAAGTGTGCCCCCAGTTGAAGCACTTACGGAATGGGAGCAAAATACCAGGGATAATCTTATTCTCGATACAGCATTACTCTCTTCGACCATTCGAAAGAAGACTTCAGCCTCCGACAGCCGAACGTCCAGCACCTTAATAGGCTCTGTGGGCTTGATAATTGTTCTAACGACATTTTTGCTACCAATAATAACGGACATACCAACGTTTATACGGGATGTTAAACTCTCAATCAAATACCAAAAGAAGTATAGACGTAAGATGGACAAGCTGAAGGCAGGAATGCCACATTGATCATATACAACTTGGACACTGTTATATAGTAGCAGTTGTGAAAGTGAACCAAATAAAAGACAGTTCACGATCTTCTATGGTCATAATTATCTCTTTTGGAAATATTATTTTACTTTGTTTGATATGATGTCGGACGTGTTTGATGCTCGTATGTATGTCTGGTGGTTTCATGAACGTAACATTGCTTTCGGCGATTGAGGAGGATTTACGTAGTCGCCGTCGATTAAGCGGAAGGCGCTTACTCTTCCGGAACTCCTGCTATTATTTTCTTCTCTCTTTTGCATTTTGTCCAAGTTTCATTGAATATATATATATATATGTGTGTGTGTAAGCTTCAATTGGGATTTTGTGAACATGTCGGCTATTTCTTGGTTGTTTAGTATACGAGGGTTTCCTTTTATGTGTATCGTACGCATTATGTACATGTTGTTTTTTTAACATGTATATATCTTTCAGCCAAAGTACAATGCATTCACGTTCAAATGCTTTAAGAGATGAGGACATTGGAAATATCTTTCCCAATGAATCGGATCCCGTGTTGATATCAGTTATACTATGCACAAATGTGTGCAATTTTAAGGACGTTTGACCCGACTTAAGAAATAATTCAATATGAAATAAATTCCAGCATAATATCAAGGACTTTGGTATTCTTATACACTTTGTTATGTATAGTTTTACTGAAAAATACTTATAGAGGTCAAATTTTACGACATTTTGAAGAAATATCACATGAGGACTACTTTGTTTACGGCGTCAACAATATCAGCATTTTGTGGTCGCTAAGGCACTTCTCTTGATCATAATTCTGGATATTTTGGGTAAATTTCAACTCAGTTTTGCATGAATTATCACCACAAATCACGGATTTTAAGTTCATGAATTCCGCCTGGGTTGACCACACTCCAAGATTTTTAGGACACGTAAGCAAATGTTTTAGCTTGTTTCTTAATCATGCAAAAACTTGATATTTGGGTGAAAATTACAAAAATTGAAGCATGGAGACACCCTCTTTTTAACCATGAAACGTAACCTCCAAATTTTTTTTCTCTTAACATAAAGTATTTTAAAAAATATTAATACTAGAAGATGATTAAATAAAGATTTGAGTCATATGGGAACATTTTCAATTTTTTGGTTGCTTTGCAGTTTAAAACTCGCCTAATTAAATTAAAACTTCCTATTTTGACATTTGTTTTCTTAATATACAATTATCACACCGTTACCTTGCGAAAATAACGGAATGTCTGTTATTCAGGAAAAAATGAGTATGATATATGAAAATTACTTACTTCCTGTTACACATATTTTGACGCCAGTACCGAAAATGGTAGTGTGGAAACATCTTGGTTTTGGGTGATAACCTACTTTCTAAAATCAAACCTTTCAGAAAAATGATTTCATCCTTGATCAATTTAGTACTTCTCAATCTCTACTTGTCTACTAATACCCTAATGACATGTTAAGGTCATCTGAAATTTATATGCTATCCAAACGGATGTACGCGTGTTGAAAGTTGGGTCAAATTGAGAGGAATGCTAAAAGAATGTTTGTTGTTGAAATGATTACATTTGTGGAAAGTTTAATTGAGTCTACATTATTATTTTCTGGTCCTTAGTGAATAAATATACAAGTCTGAAAACTCAACATAAGAATTTCAATTTTCGATTCAATGAGATCATAGTGTTCCTGAGTACAGGTCTACAAAATTATTAAGACTCTCTAATCGCTTTTCTCCTTATAGAAATGTATTGAATGTTATTAACCATTGTCTAACTTTGCATTATCAGTCCTGATAATCTCACGCAGGGTATTGTCGACTCCAAGTTAGTGTAATTAGATTGTATCCCGGTACTCAGTGACACCATCTTCAATTACATTAATTTGATATAACTGAAGTGACGAGAATCGAAGGTTAATTTGAGTTGCTGATTCATCATAGTCTGTATTTTTGTTAAGCATTTCGATTTGAAGTTGCCACACATTCACGGTAATCTATAAAAATGTACAAATTGATTGATTATTCCTTTGTGTTCGAGAGTAATTTTATTTCTATAATTGACAATTGTTTGGGGGATTTTATGCGATAATGCCGGTAAGTTATTTGCATTGAAAGCCTGATATAATGCATTATTTTTATTGTGTAGTGCTATGGAGACATCTAATACTCACATTAAAAGTTTCGTTTTCAAATGATAAGTATGTCGCCATTAAAGTTCGTTCTTGTCTTGTACGTTTTCAACGAATGGTAATAGTTTTATGTCAAGACATTTGACCTTGATATATATTGTGTATTTTTTCACTCTCATTTCCTTTTGTTACTTTCCATATGTAAGGATATTTTTTTCGGTATTTTTAACGACGGTACGCCCGCAAAATAATGAAACAAAATCGACCAGTTATAATAAACAGTGTGTACCTGGAGATGCAGAAACGGGCCAATGTTTTCTTCACAATAACCTTCGCCAATATGTGGTTTGTTCAGTCAAGGTAAATGCCTACATCAATAAATTTCTGTGAAGACAACCACATGTTCATTGATAACTCTGCACTATAATCAATCACGTGTTCCTTCTTGATAATATTCAATACTTCTAAGATCAAACCGATTGTTACCTGTATCAAGACATCTGGGCCAAGTTAGTGTTTGCCAAACTTAAACATAAGAATACAATTTTATATGAAATTGCTCATATCAGTCGTATCAATGATTAAACCTGAAATAAATGTCATTAAAACAATTAATAATTACCTATATTGCGTCACCAATCAGGATCGTGAGTACATGTATATACATCAAACAACCGCAATAAGAACGAAGTTTACTTTCACCATTAATCGGTTTATTTTATAGCTTGCCCCTAATGTTCTGCTTTAAAAGTGCACTTAGTCACGAATCAGAAATTCGGGGTTTTCACAAAGCACCTGATGTTGAAAAGGTTCATATAAGTTTTTATAAAGAAATGTTAAGAAAAATGTTTGTAATATTTTTCGCCTATAAGGAATTCTAAAGATTGTCTTTGTGTGTATATTGAACACCGGTGGCGTTAATGCGTTTAAATGATTGACGAGTGGTGAAATAATTGACGAGTGGTTTGTCATTAACAAGAGGCTATGAGCTTAATAATCTCAAACAGTCTTTAACTTCAAAGAGTCATTACACAGAAATTTACACTGAATCGATCTAATTGTTGAATTCCTTTGAGATCTTCGTGATACAAGGCAGCATACATGGTTTCATAAAAATCCATTCATATCTATTTAATTATCGTGTTCACAAAAACCATGAGTAATAACAGAAAGAAGGGACATAACTCTGTAAGTTACAATTGAATTGGTCCCATCATCCAACTCATTCGAATTATCATTGACATATGGCTACAAACAATGTTTCATCAACATATGTTAATATTTAGTGAAGTCATCGTGTTCATGAGGTCCTATGGGAATAAAACTGCAAACAGACATAATTTTATATATTACACCATGTTTAATTAATTGTTATATTTACTGACGTCCGTGATAATTAAACTGCAAAAAGTCATAATTCTGTCAAATTGCGGTCATATTGGTGCCGGTGTCGAATCTAACCGTTTCATCAAATCCATGTCAATTTATTCAAATCTATACGCTCACAATAAAAAGATAACGCTGACTGTGGACGATGAACGATAGCTATATGTAGATTAAAATGACATATGGTCAGGTGACCTAAAAATCTACTCGAAAAAATAGGTCTCCCTTGCATTTACTAGAACTTCTGCAAATCTCAAATGGATTGTATTAAAAATATAGTCCCGATAATTTGAATTAGACCAAATATGTATTAATCTGTCAAAATGTCATTATGTCAGTAAAAAATCAAAACTGCATAATTTAATTGAAATAATTGACTTTGTGAAAATTCTCCGACAGCTACCCGGAAGAATAGCGGCTATTCTGAGTTTCAGGGTCGTCTCCCGCTTCGCTTCGGACTGAACAGGTGCCATTTTTAAATTGTTATTGTGTGTGTTTTGTGTCCTTTCTAAGAAGCCTATGTATCCATGGCATAAAGAACCTAATGTTGGAGGTTTTCATTTTCAGGCAGTGAAAATTTAAAATATCTATAGCAGACGACAACATTTGCAAGGTCTCAAGCAGGTATCAAAACCATGGAAAATAGATATGTTCTACTGAAAATTACCATAATGTCATATCTTGATCTTTTTACTGGTTAATGTGTACATCATTTGTCTTTGTCGATTGATATTCTGCAAATCTGGAGGAAATATGAATATTTTTATTTCATATTAAGCATCAAACGTTTGCAAGGGTTCTCTCCCCTTACAGAATCAGTACGTCCAGAACAATGTTAATCTGGTCACATTCATCAACAAATGAAACAGGCTAAATTTGGTAGTTTCATGAAGTCCAGCTTGAGTAGAAGTTGAAATATTATTATATGAAAGGTGTATCAAGGAATGTAATATTATTAAATGTATTTCATGTCGACAAATGAAAAATCTGTATCATGAAATGTAAATGGTTGTATCATTATCATGTCATTTTATTAATTTAAACAAAAAATGTTTAAAATTTTATTTAAACAATTATTTACAGTATAGTATCTCAGGTAACAGATAACACATGTAAAAACACAGGTAAATGAACTCAGGAGAAATATTTAAGTATGGAACTTACTATAAATTACTATAATTTGTTGGATATAATAACATTTCAACTAAATGATATATTGTGTAGTTTGTGTGCTGACAGAGAAGTCGAAGATGAGTTTCATTTATTCTTTAATGTCCGTTTCATAATTATCTCAAACGTAAATATATAAATCCGAGCTCCTTCAGGAAACCTAGTATTTTCCTCACTTTATTCTATATATAATGTCCGTTCTATAATTATCTCAAACGTTAATATATAAATCCGAACTTTTTCAGGAAACATAGTATTTTCCACGTAATACAATTATTTTGTGTACATGACATAAAAGAACTTTATAATTTAAGATTTTTTTTATATTCATCTACAAACTTCAGAAATGAAAATGTATGAGTGCAACGTTTCCTTTTTTCTAGTGTATTTGCATATAATGTATATCATTATCAGTTATGTTGTAAAACCTGTCAACATGGTGACCAATAATGTATTCGTCTCTCCAACAATCCGTATATATGCATGATTGAACTTCACGTCTGATGGACTTTTGGCCTAAGGAAGTCAAAAACCTGAGCTGAACGGTTATACGTATGCAAGTAATATCTACCAGGAAAGTTAATGTTGAATCGGTAGGAAGTTCAAGACGTCGTTACTTCCAAGACATCACGTAGCTGTAAAAGAAACAAACAAATATATATGTTTATAATTAATTTCCTAGTTACACATGCAATAATAAATCTTATTCAAATGTAAGGAAATGCAGAGTCAGAACATTGCTTAAATTCCTTAGAAAAGAATCAGTCTTTCAAACAATGCGAATTGTATTAATTATGTTCTTTTCTGACAAAGAGTTGTCTGATAAAAAAGTACATACAAATCTTATAGATGTAGTTTAAATTTGGATTGCATATTAAGAATTGTATTTGATAAAGTCTTAAGAAATTTACAAAATTCTGAAAAAAAAACAAACGCATAAGCGATACATTTAAACGTGTCGTCAGAAAACAACAATATATTGTCCGTTATCATTTTTTCTATTATATGTTAAAATCTTTATCATTTAAAGTCAGTTATATTATCATCGACAACTATTTCTAATTAGTTTCATTAAGAACTTGACCAGATGAGATTTTTTTAATCATGTTTTAATTGCATTCACTTGGTGCAACGACTTTTCGATCGAGTCCATATAACGAGCAAAACAATCGGCACAAATTTAAGGTTGTTAACATAAATACATCGTTGTAATCAATTAGGCTGAGATTCTTCGAGAAAATTAACCAATTACACTGTCTAAAATGTTATCAACAAGTAATGAGAAGTTAGACATCATCTGTGGACTTCGTAGCTAAATAATACAAATTTAAGTAATGCTGCGAGCATTCGATAATTTTTATAGTTTCTTTTAATATTTTTTCTATAGTACTTACGTGATAAATTTGTATATAACTAATGCTATTAAGCATCGCCAGACCAACAAATCCAGCATACTGAATGAAGATCAAAAATTCCTGAAATATAAACAAGATTACTTCAAATGCAATCGTCAAGCACTCGGAAATATACAAAAAAAATATAAGATACAGTTATTGTTTTAATTGAGTTTAAAAAATAAATTATTAAGGAACAAATACTCACCCATATTTTGTCTGAAAATACTGCAATTTGAATCATTGTGAGTAATGCTTGAGACCCACCAAATCGCCACAAATACATGCTAAAGAAAGTAACTGTGGAGTGAACTGCCTCGGTCTGTTTCTCCTACAAATACAAATATATCATCCTATTTCCGATAAAAAAAATGTATAGTGTAAACGTAGTTCAATCAGTACCTCAAGTAATGCTGGAATATTTAAACGGAAACACTAATGATCAGAGTTACCTCCCTTCCCACAGAAACGAGTATTCAGCGTACTGCTATTATGTATACTGATTTTTCCAATTATTCTCAGCAAAAATGATAATAATTTAAACAATAGCATAAACACATAAAACTTTATTGCAGACGTAGAAACGTCCAATCAGATTCTTCACATATAGAAAATGTAAAACAAAAAAATACGGAAACAAGCAAAATATGAAAGAAAAGAACGACACACATCTATGAACAACACAAATTCATTTTGATATCGCTGCATCATGTTTACTATGGTAAATCCATTGAACATCCCCGGGTGTCCGATTAATATTAACGTATATCAATATTTCACTGACGTAACGTCACTTATAGTGTATCGGAACATCAGTGTGATCATTTATTTGTTGCTTGAAATCTGAAAAAAAAATTCCTCACGTGGATGACAATTTTAAGTTAAAACGATCAGTAAACTACCCTGCGTTTGTCAAAGTAGAAAACCTTTTAGTAAGGTGTTGAAAGAATTTCAATATAAAGTAAGGACACATTTTTGTATAGTGTTGAATAAATTAAATATACGAGACCAAATGAATATATATGAATATATACAAACCGTCAGCATAGTCGTATCTAATGGTGTTTGTAGAAGATCCACAAAAGCTTGCACAACATTATCCCACGTCGACGAAGCTATAAGAATGACCACACCATACGTCAACGCTTTAAGAAATATATAGTTTTTAGTCGCTTTAATTCCTATTGTCTTGGATGAATGATCGTCCTCGTAATCCCGTCCTGACAAAAACGTCTTTGTCTGAGGTAGAAGTTCACGTGATTCAATAACTGGGGGATATTTCCACAGGTAGAAAAGACAGCCGAAAGCAAGAGCAACACCACTGAGGATATCACAGTCAATGTCGATGAAAAAACCTAATGATGACCTATGTGATTTATAAACGGGATCCCCGGATGTATGACGAAACACAACTCCATCTAACACGTCCAGCCACATTCGGTATTGGAATATAATGATACCAATCCTTCTGTATTGTAGTGATTCCATCGATACGAATTTCGCGGAAACGAAACCGAGAACCAACCCTGTTATACTGATGACGTTAGGGGTAACGATGTGATATACCCCCGTGGGTTCGAATATAGCAACTACAAGCTCTGCTATAGGATTGAATATGTAGTGTGACATGTGGTCCATCATCAGAAGCTTGACCGACAGAGGTCTTAGAGGCGAGTAACCTCCCTTGTTTGGAGGTTCCATCAGCGTCATTTTCTGTAAGGAATTGAACACTAAAATGTCCATGACGAGGAAATAAAACACCAGAATACATCCCAGTACAAGAAAGATTGGTCCTGTTCGGCTGTATTTCCACGTCCAAAATGGACACAAAGCCATTTTTGATTTTCGTTTGTTAACTACACAAGATAAGCTACAACTTTCAAATAATGATGCCATATCTTCATTTTTGAATATGTCCGTAACTTCTGTTGTTCATCGCAACCACCACAGCCATATTGAAAGTTAACGCGCGCATGTAGTTCCCGGTTGTTGTATAGTGCACCCTGAAGAACGCTACCACTCATCTAAACATCAAAAATTTATGAATTGACGTTCAGTTTATCTGGCCATATCTGTAAAATAAACACGATTTATTATCAGTATCGGAAAATTTGGTACATTTTATTTATCGGGAAGGCTGTGTATTATCACACCACATCCGTGATGTCACAGAGTACATGACCCGGGTTAATGTAAAGATACATTGTAATATCCTTGAACTTTGATACAGTACATGAACGCTGCTCAGTATACTCTACAGTCAGTCACTGACACTGTGACAAGTTGAAATTTGTGAAAGTCACGTGATAATTAGACTAATATCCAAGCCTAAGTAACGGTTAATAGATAAGATTAATAATTGAATAGTTAAATCAGATTTATGGATAAATGGATAAATGGATAATTCTAATTCTGCTTTGAAAGGTGCTACTCTCTTGTGTGTCTGATGAAGTATGCTTTTATAGCAAAACGGATTTCTATGTATACAAACAAAGCAAATATTGTAAATAACATTGAAAAATAGGTTGAAAGATAAGTAAACAGATATTGATATATGGAAATTTGCAATATATACTTCTATGGTCTAAAACATCTTCGGAAAAAAATAATTTGTCTCGTAAAGATTTTCTTATATAATAAGACAGAATCCGTATATAAAAGATGTTAGGGTATGCCAGTTTTTTTTGTTTTTTTTTTTTTTTTTTTTTTTTTGGGGGGGGGGGGGGGGGGGGGGGTAACCAGAAACGCCTTAAAAGAATATGAAGTTACAAGTACAGGTGTTTTCGAGAGGTTGGTGGTATCTTTGTGAGTAAGCAATATGTATATCTAATATTTCAAAGTCGGAGAATTTGGGTTATAAGGTAGCGGTATCTAGCTTCTCTAAATATAGATTGTGTGTGATAATCTGTGAAAAAAAGAGGGGGCGTGTAAATACGAAGATGAATATACACAATAATCATCAAATTGTACCACTGTGTAAACAATGACGTAAGGAAGGGTCATTTGTTATTGTGCATAAACATTTGATACAACACGTGTATAACACGCACTCTCACGCACACATACCCATACCAGATAAAACACACATGTGAATTTTATACTTAACAGAACCTTAAGACGTAGACTCATTTACATAGTATCACATGGCTGATATAATTTTATGTATACGCTTGTACCTATATTTATCTAGGAAATACAATACCAACGCGTGTATCATTTTACTTTCGTACAAAACACAGTAACCCTACCTTTATTTGGTGAATAACCTTGTAACCTTGACATGGATATGAAAGTCACGTACTCTTTTACATCATATGTACTTAATTGCCTTGATGTTTAAACTATCTCCCTCAGCGAGACATATACCTTCAATTTCAGAAGGGTTTTACACTTATTTACTGAATATAATGAATTGTTTGTAAATCATTGCATTCAATGGTATAAAAGACAAAGAATGATACTAGGAAATCTTTTCACGTTTCAAATATAACACTTCAAGAATGTTTCGTTTGTGCATCTAAAATGCCAACATGCAATCTTACCTAAGCGTCTAGCTGTTATTAATGTTTACACAACTAAAGCAACTCCGTCAGGCACTGCATGACTATAAACACTGTTTCTATCTGTGGGGTCGATTGTGACATCCTCCATCCTCGGCTCCCAGCTGACAACCGTCTCTCTTCAATGACTTTTCAGCTATGGAAACACGAGTGAATAACTGGGCAGAAGTAGACTTTATCGTTTTACAAGAGACTGTGACCTCTAGGATCTATTACGTTGTATGACTGGGTGAATTTCTGATGAGTTGTGTTGCTTGCATACAAGCGCATATAGAAGATGATACAACGGGTAGATTTTTTTTGCAGATGAAAGGTATGTGTACGTGTAGTAATGGAAGGAAACAAATATGTAAAGAAGATGACGCCCGAGGGAAGGTATCATTGGAAATACCCAATGAAGAGTAACTTACGGAAAGTACTCTATATATAATGTACCCCAGATAAAATCTCTATATCAACTGGGCTAAGCTGAATGTTAGCGCCATTTTTTTTCTTAGTAAAGCAGAAATATCCGTGCATTGTTAGGTTTTTATATTCCTTTATGAATTGTACAAAAGACACACAAGTGGTTAGCACCTTCTGACAATTTAGAGTTAGATACAGTAGAGTCATTCAATCAGTTTAACTGTACCATACAGCTGTTTCGTCCTTCTAGGACTCGTCAGTGATGCTACATCATACTGCTGTTTCGTACTTCTAGGACTCGTCAGTGATGCTACATCATACTGCTGTTTCGTCCTTCTAGGACTCGTCAGTGATGCTAAGGGCCTGAATTTCGAAGCCTATGAGGCGAGTAAGGAAAATTCTAAATGATCGAAAGAAAAGACAAAATCTAGACGGGAAGGTGCAGCAGCCCCATAATTAAATACATTTTCATGTATCAGATAACTTTATAACAGACTCAATTACATGTGTATATTTTGAACAGTGCCGCTATTCGAATTAATTAAAATGTGACATGCAGGCTACGACAAACCTCGGGGACTGAAAGTCCACCAGCAGTGTCTACCATCTGCTGTCTTCAAGATTGTACAATTTTGAGATGAATGATTTCCAAGCGCAAGCCAAAGTAATAGCAAATATTGAAAACCGTGCAAGTTTCACAGCTGTTTTTCGAGAACCAGTTTAGGTAATGATATTTGTACTTACCTACAAATTTGTGATGTATTGTCATTTTCCCCCAATTTATCAATGGATTCGCCGATGTTTGTATATTGTGTATGGTAATATAATTAGAACTCTCTGAAAAAACAATTATATTTTGTAGGTCATATTTTACCAAAGATGACATTCAGAGGTTGACGAGATTGATGGTCGGTATCAGAAACTGTGCAAAACTGTGCATGTGACGCTAATGTAGACTTCTATTACTGATCAAGCGTGTGTTGACTTCTTGTTTTCTCGATATTGATAAAATATATTGATCAGTACATATTGATTTATTAAAGCTAGGAATTAATTTCTGATCTGTTCTGTTAAAAATGGTATATCCGGTATTTCGTCCTCCAGTCTTATTTTACCCAAAGCCAGATTCAAAAATGTACTTCAATATATGTGTCATAAGATATATCTGATCATTGGTAACATTTATTAAAATCGTATCTTCCAAGGAAAATATAACTCTAAAATCAGTCGATGGCAATAGATGGCTGAATGGATGGATGACTTGATGGCTGTCTGGATAGCTGCGTGCGAATTGAAGGGTCATACTGTTGTAGGGAACCGAAGTACCTAGAAACCTCAAATGGTTGGGCAGGTGATCCAGCATGTAGTACAACAACCTGAATACCATTTCCTACACTTAAAAATTGATAGAATTTATACCGTTCACAACAAATTCAAACGTTTCCTCGCAATAATGTTGCTTTCGAACGCAATAATATTTCTTCTCATGCAATAGAACTGTGCTCGCACGCAGCAATAAGTTTCATTCACTGAAAAGCACACTATTTAACATTTCAGTCACTGTGGTAGGTACGAGGGCTGATTGGTAAGACCCAAAAATCGTCAACAGACTCCGTCATATTGTTATGGCTGACTGGCGAGTTAAAGAGAGATATATAGCCAGTACAGTTGGGATTTCGCAGGAAAAACATTACATTCCATTCTTTCGGAGGATCTGTAATCAGAAAGGTCTTCGCCTGTTGGTTAACAAGCTTTCTGATAGTTGATCAGAGCCACACCAGTCGGACTTTATCGCTTGCTAATCTGAGCCTTTCAGAGGCAGATCTTGTTTACTTTCTACAGACGTTTGTGACTAAGGATGAAACGAGACCAAGCAACAGTCTTAACAATGAAAGCACCCTGTTTCACCGCCGCCAAAAAGGGTGAAGACTGTTCAATCAGCTGGAAAGGTTATGACCTCTGTTTTATGCGATGCAAATGGCATTCTGAATGTAGATTATATACAAAAAGGACAAACAATCAATGACACATACCATGTATCACTTCTTAGGTAGTTAAGAGATAATATTAAATTCCAGCGCCGCGGAAAAATAAATAAATATTTTGTTCCACCAGGACAATGCCCCTGTACACAATTGCCGTAGCTACCATTAATGGTTGTTGCTTTGGATTGATTGAGCATCCGCCTTATTCGTCTGATCTCGGTCCATCAAACTTTCATCTATTTCCAAAATTGAAAAAGGCACCCGCATTCAGTCAGATGATGACGTCATACACGAGCGAAGGACTTTCTGAACGGTCAAGAAAAGGACTTCTTTAAAAGAAACATTGAGGCCATTAAACATCGCTGGCAAAAGTGTATAGATACTAAAGGGATTATGTTGAAAAGTAATGCAATACATTTATGTCTGCCAAAAGTCAAACCCTTAAATATGAGGGTCACAACTTATCAACCAGCCTTCGTATAGTCTGATTGAGTATGCTGCTTAAGCCATTCCGTACATCAGATCCTAGTTACATGTATAAAGTGTATGCATAATTTATCAGCCAATACGACATGCTTGACAAGATACAGATACGTTGGTGATATATTGCTTAGTCGACTGTATTTTACTTGCCGAAAACGTAAAGTATGTGTATCCATGTTTATATATTCAAAGGTACTACGTATGATATAGGTTGATGTTTGAAAGATGAAAGTACATGAAGTTCAGCAAAAATTCAACAAACGTAATGTTTTTTCTAACACCATCAAACATCTACAGCCGAGTTCTTGGAAGAAAAAAACGAGAAATTGTGACAGAGAGCTGAGTACTTCTTAGATAAATCTAAACGAGCGAGACTTGTTGAGTACCTCTGGGACGAAAACAATGCGTCAGAGATGGTTGAGTATCTCCGAGACAAAACGAGACAGGCTCATATACAACAAATTAAATCCACAACGTTTTTTAACTAGTCCAAGGGACGCAACTCTTCCTATCATCAGACGATACCTGCTGTATTGCAATCACGTTTACACTCTAATCTCCCACTGTTTTCCTTGCACTTCAAATAGAAATTGGTGTGTTTCATTATGCATTAACCAATTAAATAACAATTTAGATATAAAGTATCTGATGTAGTCTCACGTTCCCTAAATGTTTAACAGAGATAATAATAAAAAATGCTCTCCTAAAGTCATCTTCAAACTTCAAGGGTATTCACTCTTAATACATCTACACTGTGGAAATATTGATGTCATTTTTCAGTATTATACAGCATTTTGCATAAACATCGCACGTTTAAACGACTTTAGATAGATAATTTGAAATAAAAGCTACGAGATTTACCATATAAATGAACGTGCGTCTAAAACAGGTCTCTTAATTGTTTCGACATTGGACACAGAAAGTGTTATTAGTTTGGATGATTCTAAAAAATGTACACCCAAGTATAATATTGAGATCACCCCACGGGCCACATGTGTACATATTACAGTAACTGTATATATATATATATGTGTGTGTGTGTGTGTGTGTGTGTGTGTGTGTGTGTGTGTGTGTGTGTGTGTGTGTGTGTGTGTGTGTGTGTGTGTGTGTGTGTGTGTGTGTGTGGGGACCATGATATGTTAATTCGTGCCAAGTCTCTTTGCGATGTATATTGATTTTGATTTCAAAGTGGGTTAATATTTCATCGATATACATTCGTATTGACGACGCAGGGCATTTAAATTACAATACATATGTATGTCCTTGATATCGAATAGTGCATTATTTCCTAACAATTCTGGATCTATTCCCAATGTGTGTTTTCAACCGATTACGTCCATGTCAATAGACGAAGCAGTGTACATTAAATCTATTTCTGTTTTGGAAACCCTGTGTGTGAACAATGACTTGAGGCCAGGATCTGCTTGTCAACGCTAACAATTTACTTTGATCGCGTCCTTCTGTATTTCGACTTAAGTTGTGTCGATGTTGAGTTTTGAGTCTTGTTTGTTATCTTTTTGTTTCTATTTATGCTGTATTGGGAGTGAAACTATAACTTATTTAGAAACAAAAGAAATCCTTTGATTACAAATATTATGTTAAAGTTTTACAGGAAAGTCGACACTTTTACAGACACGGGGGGGGGGGAGTAAAATTTATCACGCAGTTATAATTTAATCCTCTGAAACAAGCAGTTTCATCTGTAAAATAAAAGTTCTCATATTACAACCAGGAGAAGATTAGAGCGTGACGTTTCGATGTCTATAATTCATCAGACAAATGGCCAGTGTGAAGCTTTCTAGATTACCTAGTGTACGAGATGGTTAGAAATCGACCAACTTTTCGGCTGTACTATAATCCTATGTACGCTAAAGCCGTAAAAATTGTGACGAGATGGTAAATACATTATAGAAAATACACAAGATGATAGCAACATACGGCTTTGTTTACCACTTGGTCATCGCTTTTCGAGAGTCTGTAGCCCCCTCGTCCCTATTCAGATTATTTTCATACATTCTTCACTTTTTGAAATTGAAAAACTGAATTCACATAACGTATTTAAAATTTGGAGTAACACAACCCCCACCCCCATCCCCCCCTCTCATATCTATATTTTCATTACTTATCGAAATTTTATCACAGCAGCACCTGTGACATAAAGCATACGAGTTAGTCAGCATGTTTCAAATATGAGTCAACGTAATTTATTAACACGTCAGATATTGCTTTACCTAAGCATTATAAATGTTAAACTGAATGAGGTTGGATCTTGATAAACAACCCCGACAACAACGCCACACAGTGCGCCACCCTTTCTACCGTATCGATCCCAGAAAAAAATCAACATTCCCCGAACAATTGAACTCCTTCTCGTTGTTCCGGACGTTTGTAAATGTGTCTGATAGATTAAATTGTAACCTTTCTTTCTAGAAAGCCGCGCCTGTTAAAGTATTAACGTAAATTTGATACAGAATGTGTAAAAGTCTTCTTTAATCCTCCAGGAGTGTAAGTAAACAGGATCTCTAGTCAATAGTATTAACAACAAACTGATTTTACAGAGTAAGGAATAATAACACCGGAAATCTAATCTCCATAAACCTACGTATATAAAGTGCGTTTCCTTATATAGTAATACAGCTGTACAGTAACGGTGAATTTGCTCTGAATTCCCTTTTGTATACAACAGATGAAGATTACATGTATATAGATCATGTTATGGCATTTTCGCTCTGATCTTACAGTCATGTTCGTGATAATGTAATATGTGAATGGTTGGTTTCTTTTTCACGAGTGATCTCGACTCATGACTGACTTTTTTTCACGAGTTATCTCGACGGATGCCTGACATTTTTCACGAGTGAACTCGACGGATGCCTGACTTTTTTCACGAGTTATCTCGACGGATGCCTGACTTTTTTCACGAGTGAACTCGACGGATGCCTGACTTTTATTTCACGAGTTATCTCGACGGATGCCTGACTTTTTTCACGAGTGAACTCGACGGATGCCTGACTTTTATTTCACGAGTTATCTCGACGGATGCCTGACTTTTATTTCACGAGTTATCTCGACGGATGCCTGACTTTTTTTCACGAGTTATCTCGACTCATGACTGACTTTTTTCACGAGTTATCTCGACACATGACTGGCTTCTTTCTCACGAGCTTTCTCGACGAATAGCTAGCTTTCTTATTGGTGGTTATTTCATCCAATGGTTGACAAGTTTTCAAGACGAATAATTGGTGATTTTTACGTACACGACTTTCGTTTTGGGGTCGATTTATTGTGAAAAAAGCTGACGAGTGGTGGTTTTATTTTCCCGAGTACATGGCTTATTAAGAATGTATGCACTTTAAAGGAAGGAAAATGACGATTTTGTGTTATCAGATTAGGGTATTGTCTTGGCGATGAATGTTACGAGAAGTCGTAGGTATACCCATAGGGTAGTTAGAATATTAGGTTTCTCATTTACACCTTGCACAAGAGCTGTGTTGTTGCCAAGTCCATGACCAAAAAAAACTTATTTTTATAGTTCCATTTGTACAAAGAGCTATATCTGAATTAAACATGTAGAACGAAAAGATGTTTTTAGCCATCACGACGATCGCTATGTACAATGGCCAAACATGAATAACACGATTTCTATTTTATTCACGAGATCCTACAGCGCACATGTGGTGCGGCACAAAGACTCGGTATACTGTTATACATATTTCACAATGAATAATTGATTACATATTCAATCAATTATTTAACCTCACTACATCTACTCTTATAAACTAGATGTCAAACTGACGTAACCGTACAAAATATTTATGATAACGGGTGTCCGTTATTGTTTTTAAACAGTAGCATTTGATGGTGACGTTGTTGTTTTATCCAGATCAGAACGAGACCAACTACACCACGTTCTACATGTATTTATTAAACACATAGAGCATTTTTTCTTCACAATCAGTCCAACGGAAAAACTCCTAGTAGCCAGAAGTGAAATTACAATATAAATATGTAGTTCAGTTTCAGTTAGGACTTTCATGGATATTCATGGTCGTCTTTCAATATATTTTTATCTTTTTAAGACATGTTTCCTGGTTCTATAGCGAATCTTATTCATATATTATATATATGTTTTGTATTCGACTAGCATTAACAGATACTCTTCCAAAAAACTTTCCTCCTCATACGATATGTTCATAAATTACCTTCAGAAAACTTGTACCGTATTCACTGGGTATACACGACAACGGATATTGGTACCACCAAGCGGTAGTTTACAGTAGGCGCACCCTATATAAAGGGTTTTCCTCGACTCTTAAGAGTCAAATGTTATCGGGGTTTTTTCATACCAAACCCTCACATAATACCACAGGAAACGACAAGTTCTTGAACACAAACGTAACGCCTTGTACTGACGAAAATGTACAATGCAAAGCTACCAGGTCCCTGAAATAACATCGAAAGTATTGTAGCCTGTAATTATGTAACCATGCGTTTAATTAAATCTGTGAACTCATTGATATAATGCAGAAATATCTCAAAATAATTCCAGAGCGATGTACGGCGACTTGATAAGTCTTATTTGTATGACATCTTGATAACATTAAAGGTCAACAAATGGAATTGTATCACATTAAATAAAGACAATTCCCGGATTCAGGTCAAACACATCTTGTATTAATCAGCAACCAGATATTTATAGAAATCTATGTATGGTTTACGACATATAAGCCATCTACATTGTACTGTACGTTTTCGACAGTACCAGCCAATACGCTTGTGTTTCTGAAGGGAATAGCCGAACAGATCTTCATGACAAGCCTCAGTAACATGGGTGTCTTACAAGAAAGGGAAACCATGAAAACATCTCTCGATATAAGGTTTACCTTTTGTAATGTACCGCTTGTGTGGTACCAATATCCGCTGTCGTGTACACCCGGTAGTGGTTCTCTCCTGACCTATTTTGTCTATAAATTTCGGTTATGTCCTAACATAGTTATAATACAATACCGGTTGTATTAAGGGTGTGAAATGGCCGACATTAAGACGATATCGATAACAATGTGATTTATTCTATATAACGACGAGTATATTTCCATTGGAGCCACTATAACAGCTGTCAGGAGTCGTATATAGTCAGCATAGAACGCATCTGTAAATAAAAAAAATCGATATTAATTAGCATATCCAATACAAATGTCGATAACATAAGACATCATCGCTCTAAATTCGTTATGAATAGAACGTATATGGAGAAGAAATGAAAAATCAATATCAGGAACCAGGTATTTTATACATTACATGTAACATCTATAGATCAAACGATGCCGAATCAGAAGTAGCTGGACGGCTTACTTCACAATCAGGATCAACATGAATGAATTCACTCCGGATAAAACCCAACTGACATAGTCAAAGAATAACATCTGTTCCCATTTTTTTCAATTTTTAGATTTTAGAAAATACGTTTTAAATCAATATTTAACTGAAGATGACACAAAAAGACCGCCGCTGTGTATCCAAACTAAATGGGAAAATTTCATCATGCTCAAAGACACAAGTATGACGTAAAAAGACGATTCATGATGTCAGCTTCCTGAGAAACAGTTAGTCCAGGTTACCGATCGAAACATGCTGATTGTGCCATGAAGTTGAAAAATTAAGAAAACGACATTTACAACAGTATAAAATATGAAAATCTCTAGTCATGCATGCTACTGTATACATCTATGTAATCCATGTTGGCACGTGAACATTTTATCAGGTTCGTTGTGGTTTGTGATCACGACTCTGGTATATTACAGCGAGGACCCGTATTTCACAACAGCCCGAAAACTTGGATACAACCTGAATACGCGTCTCTTCATTATAGCCATGTTAGACAATCTGCATCACTTTCATAGCTAAGATGGGAATTAGCAGAATGTCGGTTATATAAACGGTCGAGAGCAAATTAGAGAACACGCCATAAAATTAATCACTGAATGAAACTATATATAACTTTGGTTCATCGTCCCGTAAACAACCAGGGTAAATGTAAAATGAGAATCTACGTGTAGCTGGTGGCTACCTCGCTGAACAACACACGGGAGGCCCGTAGCATGCCATCCACAGCTACTAGAGTAAAGTGTCCTGCCCATGGACATAGCCACGTCAGCACAGAAACGTCCGTTTCTCAGCTTCCTAAGAAACAGAAGCTGACAAGGTAAGGACCATAGAACCACACATCTCGGATCTTCATCTAAGATTGTGTAGACTAACGCAAGGCGTATGCAGAAGATTGTCTCTCAATAGCTTAATTCAGCTGCCCTAGTTTTCAATAGTACAGGCCGGAATCCATACTTAAATAAATCTCCCTACCGTACAGACTGTTCTCTACTGTGACTTGGAAACTGGTATTTATGAAAGGGTCTGAACACTTCCAGTCAATGATAAGATAGATATTACTTAAGCACCACGATTACCTCCAAGAGGCACCAAACACCATAAAGGCAATATTGACAGTTTTGTATCACACTAAACCTATCAGTGTCATACATGTCCCACGCAGTATTCGTCTATAAGGGAGTATTTCTTTAACATTTCAAGCGAAAGCGTGACACGCATTTTGTAGTTTGCTAGGATATCGGTAAGTGTAGGAGTTGAGAATGCATATAATTTATTCTACTTATCAAATATTGGCCTGAATGGGTTCAAATCCTTCAAACAGGGGTTTCCCCGTCAATCATTTTGACATGTTATTGTTCTCGCTCGTGATGTACCTTATCCCTTCACTCATACACACATCCCCTCATTACCATATCCTGGATACACATGATGTGTCGTTACTCATAAGTAATCCTTTATTAATGTAATATTACTTGTAATGTGAGACAGGGTCATGGCATTAATCGTTTAGTATTCAACATAATGTGCAGATATTCTAAATCTTCTATACCAAGGCGGTAGTGTTACACAGATATAATAACTTGTGAAACGTGGTATCCTAAGTTATACAGAAAGCAAACTTTAACAAAAGGAGTGGTTTTTATCTAGTCTCACAACAGTATAGAAAGATGGGTTATTGCAACAAGAGAAGCGGCCTGTATCGCTCACCTAGATTATTAATTCTAGTCCCGCTCTTCTGACAAGGGAGCGGAAACCAAGATTTACAAAAAAAGAGTCCCATTTCCAGAGGGATAGTTAAAAACCTTGGTCAAAATGCATTAATACTAACAGAAGCAGTAGGAATTGAAAGATAATTTTCTTTTTGAGAAAATATTGATCTCTACCGTAAACAGCAAGTGAAAATTGCATTTTTGAAACCCTCAGAACGTTTGTATTTGTTATCAAGGGAGTAAAAATAACATATCATTATATGGGTTCGTCCCCTGTCGACTAAGAGGCCAGGCACGCCGTTTATACAAAGTTATGTCCACTTCATCCAAAGACGCTTTCGACCAAATTTGGAGAGAAAGGTTTTAAAGAATTTGCTCAATTTGCTCTTAAAGGCCGCGTCCGTTCAAGGGAACCAGATCCGCCATCTATACAAATTTATTTACCCTTTCTTTAAGGATGCTTTTGATCAAATTTGTTCATTATTAGAAACATTTTTTTGGAAAGTTGACAGACGCACTATGGCATAAGCTCCCAGGACCTTCGGACCAAGTGAGCTCAAAAATCGTGTTACTCGAGCTTTCTGTGACTCTAACATCGCACTTTCGACATTCTAACAGACAGCTGTCTGTGCTGCGAGATTGAACAAACCGCCCAGAATCTGTCCCTGTGTGGTGAAAGAGCCACGCTAACGTGGTGTCTGATACTCACGTGTCTAATTTGAATGTAACTGAACAAATTCAACATCGCCAGAGCTACAAATCCCGCGAACTGAATAAAGTTTAGGAATTCCTGAAATAAGAAAGAAATGCATCATCAATTAAGTGTGTCTGTATAAATACTGCGAAGTCGAGGCATACTTTTTTTAAGTCCGACCGGACAATAACAGTCTGTGCCCCCGGATTATCACAACATTTCTTACTAGGTAGATTATTTACGAATATGATATATTTTTCAGAAAATACATCAGGATGATGTACACACAGACATAATGGAGAAGAAAATTAGAATTAAGAATGCAGCACGACAAAATCGCCACATCAATCAGCACTTTAATACCTCACAACTAGTAATGATGCAATATTGTAGTACACTTCCCGAAAATCAAACATTTCTAACAATGTATGTAGCTTACCCAGATTTTGTCAGTGACAATGGCAAGCTGAAGAAGATGGAGTAAAGTTTGAGCCTCACAGAATCGCCACAGCCACATACTCAGCCAAGTGACTCCGGAGTGTAGTGCTTCCCACTGCCTTTCCTGAAAGGCAACACAATACAGAAATGTTTTACCCAGTTCGGTAACCTTGATTTAATTCACCCCAAAAGATGATATTAGTAAAAAGATAAGCTGAAAAAGAATCTTGTAAATATGTCATATCACTTCTTCAAGACACATCAGAAGGAGTTGTGAAATTCCGAATGACGCTCTCGCCTTTGAGGTGATAAAGTGTTAGGTACCACGTAAACAAACTGTGACTTAAAAGTTTACCTCGGACCCACGCAAATAAAAAGTTACAGTAATACTGTAGCGTGGGTCTTCTTACCTGTATTATCCAAATATACCATACTTGTCTGGTATTGTGTTCTGTTATTAAGTCATCGTAACTTTTGACCAAAATTATGGAAGCGATTTATCTTTCATCCGGAGCTACCAAAATAGGTTATTATGAACATGTGTCAGACACGAAAGTGACCACAAACAAACAAATATTGACAAGTAGACTGATGAGAACAGCCGGGTTTCTCCACAATGCGCAGTCTTGTTAAGTATAAATACATCAAGTGTAATCAATTGAGAGAGATTTTACAATTCTGATGTACAAGATCCGGACATCAATTGAATGTAGCTAACTTGCTATGTCACATACCCAGTATCGATCGAACTGACGGTGTCATACAAGCTGATAAATCGTTTACTGTTATCTAAACCGCCAATATCATATGATATATAGCGATATCGAGAAACACCTGTGCACGTTTCACCTGGTGTCGGTAAATTCAGGTTTCGGATATCGATTAAAGCGCGTAAAATATCACTATACTGGTCTGAATTAGTGGAAGTTTCCCTTTAGATAAAGTGGTGGTTTGGCGACCGCTCAGATACAGTCGCTCTTAGTTCCGGGTCCTAGCGTTTAAGGTTCCTTACTCCTTAAGCTATGGTGTCTTTGGCCCCTCGAAATGTAAGCTTTATGACGTTTCAACGGGATTTAACGTCCTCCCAACAGCCAAGGTCATATATTTCCTTTTCTACTTAAGTTGGACTCTGTGAAACGACCAAAATAAGCCTGTTTAAAATTGGTGCGGACGTATGATGTTAAACTTTATATAAAAGTAATCAAATTTGCTCCACATTTCCATAATATACATTGATTAAGATAAATTATTTGTATTATAAGTATGAAATAAATCAAAATATGACATAGTGATTTTTTGGCATAACAGATTTGTTTTCCGTGTTTTGATATTTGCTTGAGACCTTGCAATGTTGTCGTCTGTTACATTTTTTAACCTTCCACTAGCGTAGAAGTTATATCATATGTCGTGTAATATAACTAAGCTCAATAACTTAGAATTTAAGAAAAATGTACTGGTGTTATGTTAGATGTCTACCAAGTCCAAATTATTCTGATGTTCTATGTTATAAAGGACGCTGCAGTAGTATATGTATCTGTATTACACTAATAGACACCATCGATAGGAGACCAATGTCCAACAGCTCAGGTGCCCGATATAAATCAAAGCCTTGAATGACTGAAGGTCGAATAACTTAAACTGAGGATTTCATTTTGAGAAAAAGAAAAATTGCCGCATGCATGCTTGTTCTTTCGGTCGTACTGTACTAAAACAGGCCTTGGTAATATTATCCTTCCTCCTCCTCCTTGTATCTTTAATTTGTCTGCGATGAAATTGCCGCTTGCATGACGTGGGTGGGGGAGGAGGTTAAAATCCGTACAACCCAAGTCTATCAGATTTATTGAAAACACTATAGGTCTAAACAGTGATAACAATGAGCTGCATAGAGATGTTATTTAATTTAGGCCACGGCACGGCTTCTAAACCACGTGTCTTAGAAGCTTCCTAGTTACATTTCGTGGTATTAAATTACTTAATGTATTCATCCGCCAAATAGTTTACCAACACAACCATTCCATTTCGAAGTTTCACTACGTTTCCTATCCATGATAACAAATTATTTGCTGGAAAATAATTTCCAGTCCGACTACTTTGTGCTTTACTTCTTTCTGCGGATTGAATCCTGTCAGCGACCAGTGACCCCTCTGCCGGAAAAACGAATGTCACGTGTCACGCGATCGCTATTGTCGTTATCCGACCAAAAACTACAGAACGTTTGAAAAATGTGGACTAGTAAACTCGGTGGCATACATGTGTAAACAATTTAACAATAAACCCAATTACCCCGAAGGACATAACCTCGTATACACGGGGTTTATCCATCAGTTCCGTGATACAATGCCCACTACAAACTATTCAGAGCGTGTAAATAGTTATTGTAACCAGCAAAGGTCGACCATTCAAATGTCGCCGATATGTAACATTTAATGAATGTGAACCTCCTGACTTAATACCCCAGTAGCATTCTGTGATTCAGTCTGGGGTTATACAAGCGCTTTTCTGTGGTATTGCGTACGTCCAACAATCCATATCTCATACATTACAATCCATATTTGTACCCCTCGGAAAACACATATGTATAGATTACAGATCCAGATAGAACGTTATTTAACCCTCGACCAAATCACTACAACTTTGTAATATCGACAATACTTGGTAAGATGTAGGCTTCCTTTTTTAGTGTTTGTTTTAAGTGTTAATGGCCTGGTAAGATTAAATGTACTTATGACCGGGCGGAGAGCAATCTTTATCATGACCTTTGTTCGACCTCTACACCCCTGGATCTCTATACCATATTGTAGACCTCAAAGAGACTTGTAACATACACGCAGAAGGATAAATCTTATTACTTGACACACTGGAAAGAAAGGATGTTTATATTGCATAAGAATATCGTTTTCTACATCATTACCAATAAATTTGGGGACAAATGGGTCTTGCTGTGAGCAATATATAGTGCTCGGCTGTTAGTTTACAAACAGGGTCATCGTTCAGCTATCCGTGCGTGGTTGTCACACTTAAAACTACATCTAAGTAACTAGTCACTCATTTTATTATCTATACTTCTTCAACACAAAGAAACATCCTCCAGTTACACATTTACAGATAAGGTCCGATTTGGTTGGCTGGTCGGATGAAAGTACACACCTTTGTAAGAAAAACCATTAACTTGTATAATATTGGAGCGACTCTAAGCAATATATACGGTATACATGGCCTTTCCTACTGGAACCGGTTTGTGCTCTACATGTTCATCTTTACAGCTTTGTATGTAATTATAATATAGCGAAGAATCGTTTATTTACATAACACGGGGTGCTTTTTTACCTGTATCGACTCTCATCATGAATTTTTCTTTCATGTTGTATTTGACCTAAATACACAGGGAATTTTTTTGTTCGGCCGGCTTCTCGCCCAGTGAACAGTCGGTGTCATTTTTAGAAGGGTCTCCTTGCAATAGCTGATGGCTACCTCACTCAACAACATACGGGAGGTCCATCGCCTGCCAGAGAAACTGGGTTAAGGGTCTTGCCCAAGGATACAACCACCTCAGCTCAGACCGGTCCGTTTCATAGCTTGCTGAGATACACACACACCAACTCGTGGAGGAATCGTCCAACTACGCACCTTGAAACGTCATCTGAGGTTACGTAGGCAAATATCCTAAACGTCTGGGCTATCGCAGTCCCACGTGGGACGTAACCCGGCCGTACAAAACAAATTAAATGGCCTTGTTATGTATCTTTAATAATGTATTGTTAAAACAACAAATATCGTAACTACAAAACAACCGACACAATAAAGCAAACATTTGGTACGATTTTACTATAGGGTTTATTTACCCTTCTGGCTTTGCGTTGGTATTGTGGCCTTTCAACAGACGAGAACTAGTGCTGACCTACCAGTACTAGTCCTGCTGAGCAACAGATTGGCCCTGTAATGGTTTTGTATGCAACAGAAATGAAATTATTTTAAAATAGAATTGTATTATGTAATTGTATGTCAAGTCTCTATAACTTGTAGCGAACTTTCGAGATATATGATGAACATCTAGAAATCCATCAAACCTACTTCAGCGCATATTGGAAATCTCGACAACATACGCGTTCACTTAGGGACCTCCTGGGCGATTACTTCCCCAAAAGAAGATATCATGAGTTACCAGTAGATGGAGGTAAATATGCGTGTCTAACTTTATTAACAAGATAAGCGAGTTTATGAACAAAGTGTATGTCTCAATAAAATTTTTTTTTCGTAACAACTATGACCTCCAACTTTGATTTTTGCTTGTGGAATGAGAATCAATCCAAAACATTCCTAGTAACGAAGATCAAAGAATTAAGCTTGAGTTTCCTGTGTCTTCAGTTATTCCGTATCAATGATTTCAAAATATCAACATGAACAACAAATACTACGACGCGCACTTAGTCAGGACATAATTAAGTATATTTACAGACTCAGTAACCAGGATGCATTCAGCATGTGGTTAGCTGGCCGGCTACTTGCTAAAATGAATTAAAAAAATAAACAAGCAACAATACAAAAAAAATGAACGTTTTTACCATATACTGTGTTATGTTTGATGTATTGTTGTTAAAACAGTGAATAATACATATATATATATAATTAGCATATGTGTTTTTATTATATGAGGAAACCAAGCCCCTGTGATCAGTCGTGATGGCTCTTACATACGAGAGACATAACGCCCACAATCTAACCCAAATCAGATCTTTCGTTTCACTACGTCGTACATTTGCATGTACCTCACTTAAAGAAGTCTTTCCCAGCTATCAAAGTACTACGTGGTAAAGCACGTGATTTCATTTTTAGATTGAAACGTTTGTAAAACGGCATTCAGCCAAGCGTAAAACAAAATATCTGAAAGAGCATCTAGGCAACGCGACATTAAGCCGGTTCTTTAGTATGTCATGTTTGCAAGCTTTAACTATGATAGTTTCCACAGGACAATGACGATAAAGTGTTTTTTAACTGTAGGAAAGGTACTAGTATACCCAAGGAAGCGTTTACTCGATAATTCACAGGTAGAACGGTTGTCCATTGTATTATGAGCGTACGTACTATGAAGGACTTCTATATACACCCAAATCAGATCTTTCGTTTCACTTGTACATTTGCATGTACCTCAGCATTGTAAAAATAGCTAGCAAATGCATGATATTGTAAAGAACGTGAGGATTATTGAAACGTTTAAAAAAACGGCATTTGACAAAGTGTATCGAGTAAAGCAAAATATCTGAAAGAGCATCTAGGCAACGCGACATTAAGCCGGTTCTTTAGTATGTCATGTTTGCAAGTTTTAACTATGATAGTTTCCACAGGACAATGACGATAAAGTGTTTTGTTAACTGTAGGAAAGGTACTGTGTATACCCAAGGAAGCGTTGTGTGTTGATTGTGTCTACTGGTAGAACGGTTGTCCATTGTATTATGAGCGTACATACTATGAAGGACTTGTATATACAGCAAAGGGGAACATTGGCTTGGTGCATTGAAGTGTTACGGTACTACAGCATTGTAAAAATAGCAAGCAAATGCATGATATTGTAATCAGAATATAGGATTAAGTCGTGAGTGTTGTGTGTTGACTGTGTGTCTACTGTGTGATTGCTGGTTTCAATTCTTGTGTATTGTGGTCGTTTCTACTTGATGCTGTCTGGTGTTATTTTTGTGTGTTGACTGTGTCTACTGTGTGCTGGTTGGTGTCAATTCTTGTGTATTTTGGTTTTTCTAATGTATGTTGGTTGGTGATAATTCCTGTGTGTTGACAGCGTGTCTAACATGTATTAGCTAATGTTATTTCGTGTGTGTTTTGTGTTGACCGTGTTTCTACTATGTGCTGGACAATAGGTGTAAAATTCTTTTGTATTGTGTGTGTTTTTACCTACAGTTGACAAAATGGTTATTTGATCGTGTGTGTTGTCCATCAGTGTGCACTTTTACAACAGGTAATGGTATGGTGTAAGTAGTTTGTGTTGATAGTAAAAAGGTCTACTATGTTCCGGACTGTGAACCCGTTTTGCTTTCATTTTTAGAGTTAATATTTACAAATAATCCATCTACAGTTTATTTTCAGTTTCATTACTAAAAGAATGGATCCCAGGATGTAAAATGAAGTATTCCAGAGATTCTAGGGTTTTCATCGAAATCCTGTAAGGACTTGGTACACGGTAGATCTGTCACTCGATTACTCTATCTTACGACCCGAGAAAACTGTTTTATCATCCAAATACAACGCTTTATCAGCAAAGTGCAACTTTTAGAAATAAAGTAAGGTGTTAATCTCCTCATAAAAGTGTAGCGTTTAAATAAAAGAGGTAGGACTTAGCAACATGTTACATACAAGCAATGGTAATTTAATCATATGTATTTGATGGTCATCATTTGCTCAGAAAAGATCAATAAGATTCAATTCAAAGTCAACAGCTTGGTTACTTGGTTTATGTAAATCGATATAAGATATACAGCCTCGATATAAATTTGACTGTGAAAATTACAACACGATTATCGTTCCAAATGTTAATCTTCCATTTTCGGGCCACAATCGTTACTCATTTGTCATCCTACACATATTTACGGGTATTTTAAGTATTGTTTCCCGGTCACGTGCCGATTAAAAAGTGTTTTAATAAATTTACCAATTGTTGATTACCCCAAAACTCTACTAATATGTTTATCTAAGCTTTTAAAATAATAACCCATTAAGAGTTATCCGACAAATTATACCAAGAAGACCCTGTGATAATACATACCTCTTGTACAGACGTCTCCATCGGAGTCTGTAACACATCAGAGTATAACTGTAGCATGTTGTCCCATGTGGTGGTGGCCAGCATGATGACACCCCCAAAAACAAGACATTTGAGGAATATGTAATTCTTTGTGGCTTTGTTGTGTGTTCCATTATTTTTACCCGGGGAATCACTGCAATGGCCATTTACAGTTGTATTCAAAAAAGGCTTTGAAATTGGCAATAAGAGGTCACGTGGTTGTATTAAAGGCGGGCATTTCCATAAATAGAATAAACATCCGAAGGCAAGTGCAACACCACTTATAATGTCACAATCAACATCTATAAAAAATCCTAATGTAGTTCTGTGTGATTTGTATACGGGATTACCGGAAGTGTGACGAAACACAACGCCATCAAGCACATCTAGCCACATCCGGTACTCAAAGATCAGCACACCAATACGTCTATGATAAAGAGATTCCATTGAAACAAACTTCCCAGCGACAAAGCCAAGAAACAGACCCGTGAAACTGATGACATTCGGAGTGAGAATGAAATATATACCCGTAGGTTCAAATATGGTAAAGACTAACTCAGCTAAAGGAATGTAGACGTAATGGTCCATATGATCTAACATGAGAAGTTTCACAGACAAGGGACGGAATGGCGAGTAACCTCCCATATGGTCCTGCTTCACCAAGTCCATAGTCTGTAGAGACTGGTATACAAGAATATCCATAACGACGAAATACGACAATAACAGGAATAGGAATCCGACGAATAAAGTCCCAGTCTTACTCTTTGGTGAAGGAAAAGACGCCATTGTAAACGAAGTCATGGTGAGACAATGAGTCTCTGACCTACCAATCAACGATGTAAAAACCTTGCCGTGACGTTGATCACGGCTGTTGCCGATATGTTTCAAGCGAAACTTTCAAATTTTAGATAATCCATTTGTTTTGTTGATAGCCTCTGGTGAACGCTCATCTACGCCTGTTGACCATTCCCACTGTGACGTCACATGTCTCCTTATCACAATTGTTGTAAGATTAGCGTCCGGGATATCTGCAAAATACACAAACTTGTTATCGATGTTATACACTGTCGATTCACGTTTTTCCTTATTATGTGACACACACAAAAAATCTAGACATGCATACACTTGTATTAACAATTACACAAGACACAGCGCTAAGCAGATAGACGTATATATAGATAACGGTGTGTGTTACGTGTTAAGCTGGATTACAAGGGAATTAAAAACATGTCCAATTCAGGAACTGGTATACAGGTAATGCCTGCTCAGTACTTAAGTTTAACTCAAAACAAGCTGTGTTTGTACGAATGCTCCTACCACTTGACACTGATATACAGATTTACTATAGGTACATGCTATTTGTGGCTCGTGGATATCGAGTGCAATTTGCAGAGAAATGTGGGGCCTTAAAGTTGGATTTCAGTATGTCAATATGGTATGTGATAACCTACAAAAGCCATCGATTGATCTACCTGTACATAAATAGAATACGCTGGACTAGGAAGTGGTCAATAGTTAATTTGTTATTTGCAAATCCACTAAATGACATTTAATGATCAGGTATGGCGATAACAGATAGTCTGGAGGTGAATGTTAATACGCTTTGTTAAATAATGGGCGTTTGATTGCTATATCATTAGACTGAACTAGAGATATATGTATAGTATTCAGCCAAAATATACCTAGTTTAATACCTAGTAAATACCAGCTTCAAATTTACCCAAACTATGAGAGCAGTACCTTCGATTTGTGAAGACTTCGATTAAGCTGTGTATGTGATGACGACACGGATCTATAATGAGCTACGTGATGAAGCACTAGAGAAAAGCATTTTAATCTATTTAAATGATACTTGAGTTTCACAGTCTTATTGACGAGTCTAGCCTAACGGTGTATTATAGATTTTCGATACTTTGATATGAAACAAATATGAATTAAATGTCTAGCCCCAAGGGAAACTGATATGCCACGTGACCGTTTTCCTCGAATACCTTCGATAACCTTTAACGACGTCGAACTTTTACGACATATTTCCACTGATAAAATATATATTGTGAGTATACCTGCGATAGCTCACCTACAAGTACATGTGATATGAAGGCGCTTTATCGGACCTACCTACGATGTCGAATTCTATATATTGTAAATAAACGCACACTTCCACTCCTAGAGAGAATGTAGGCAGGCAGACAGCCGGGAAGGAGAGGAAGGGGGTGTCATTTCGTCTCAAATCAATACATATTCGGGCGACCGTTATGTTGGTTGTTATCATTCGTTTTGACTGAAAATTCTTCAAAAAAAAATTTCAGGTTGTGTCATTGCAAGAAACTTCTCTTGGGTTTTCTCATTTATTAACACTTTCTCTTCATTCTCTAATCGCGAGGACTCGTCTAGACGGATTAAAAACACCTACATTGTAAATATAGGCGATCAGCTATCGCTAAACGAGTACTTCTCTCCTGATCGATCGATTGCCCGGGGACTCATTTGTAATTTTTGAAATTGACCAATCCTCGAGTTACTGAGCGCAAGTCACGTTATTGTTTCGAAATGGACTTTCTATTTATCGTTACATTGACCTTGACCTCAATTGACATTTTAACTTCGAAAAAAATCCAATTGGAGACACATTGTGTACATGTAATGTTTTGGCATTTATGCGGCCTAAAGTATCTTGGATGATTGGGCGAAAACCATGCATTTTCACTTACATATAGTTACCATAGTAACGGTGACCTTGACGGTTGACCTTTATCGCTAAAGCAATCTCAAGCAAGCACCCTGTGTATGACATGTCCAATTAAACTTTTTTGGTCAGTAAATTATGATCCGGAACAATTTACTATTTATACGAACTGTGATCCTGACATTTGATTTGTTAAACCGAATCACAATCCAAAGCACACACCCGTGATAGGAATTCAGTGCGAGCTTGATCGGTCCAAGGGAACTTGACTTTATCGTAACAATGACCTTTATGCCTTTGACCTTTCACATAAAATAAACACTCCCAAGTAAGACATATTGGCAGGCAAGCGAAATGAAGAACGGACAGCAGCATTACAATATATCTTTCTGATCGAGGGATAGACCAGTCCCTTGTGCTCTCATATTTCTTACTGGCTCGTGTCGGACGTTATCGAGATACTTTTAAAAAAATCACAAATTAACTATGTACTAACTTTACTGATTTTATCAGTAACCACTTCCTGCAGACTTTATATCATACAGTATAGATATGATTCGACGACTTCTTATCAACTTTTCCTGGTATCTCATGTCACACACGCCGTTTGTTCATGTTTTTCCGTTGTCATACAATACAATTTATATAACATTGACAACTATAGACAGGTGTGCACGCTGTGAATATTTTGTGTATGCATCACGATTGTAATTAATCAGTTCAGGTAAAAGTTCACTTCAACTTTAGAAAATTATAACTTATTTCTATGATGTTAACGTTTAACTGGTTGGCGTTTGACTTTGTAAAATCCGCGCGGAAAATTAAAAGTTTCGGATTAATTTTTTAATGAGAAATATTGATTTTATGTGCAAATTGGTCAATATCTGACAACCAAAATATAACACGATATAATTACATATAATGTTAAGATAACCAACGTCTCCCTTCACTTTATGTAGCGACTGGTTGAATTGAAATTCAATGTTCAGACCCCGGCAGAAATGCGTTTAAACAAGGCTGCGCTAACATTTTGTCACTATCAGGAGGATATATAGTGACTTTAACTTCAGAAGCTACAGAGAAAAACGTCTAGATATACAAACTCTGTATTCTCCTTCATCGATACATCCTTGGCAGTATAACTCAGTGTACTGTGGTGTCTGGGGGCAGTGAGGAGTAACACTTACACAGACGTTGTATTAACAACGTTTTTGATATCCTTCCTGGAGAATTCAATAAACACAATACTAGAGTTATACCTCCCCTGTAATGTAACTGACTTATTTGTACGATTATCCATTATATCTATATCATACATATAACAGCACGATGCCATTCAAATCCTTGTCACTAACATGGTTAGAAAGTAGAAAGTTGGAGGGACGTGAAATGGTAGTGTCTCCAGAATTATTACCAGTCGACCGATTTGTGTCCGAACCACGGAAGAATTGCAAATAATTCTTAGTCGAGTGTTTTAAATAACACACTAAACTTCAAAATCATAGCCGTGGAGTTTATACAAAAACACAATGAACAGATTTTGAAATGTTTCAGGGCGAATACCGCATTTATAGACAATTGCTGGTTTGGTTAATTAGTTTGTGTCCCAGTAAAACTTTACACAAAGCACTAAGAAATTTGGCCGACGATATCGAATGACGACAAGACCACTCAAAGCCTAGAGTCTATTTTCAGCGCCACCACTTCGACTAAAGTAGTGGACACTTCACCTGGTCATATTATTTAGCAAATGGGCTTATCTAAAAAGTCAAGAGGCGCCACTGATAGGAGAAATTTGATAAGGGAGAATGGAAATGAATAAGTCACCCCGCTCCGCCCCTCAAAGTCACCAAGAATCTAACCCTTACATGGTTTTAGCAGACTAACCCTTCCCCTGTACAAACACCTACCATCGTCTATCCCCACAAGCCTCCTCAGAGTGAACTCTACCGTAATCTAGAGCGGGAGTGCTTCAAGATTTACATTTATTACAAACTGTGATAAGGATGTATTATCGGCAAGATTGAGATTACATTGTACTTTATTCAAGAAAATAATGCGCCAATTTTATAAATGTAGTTAAGAGCAGTTTACAGAAATTAAGCTTGGACCTGCTATCCTTTCATACTCAGAAATTTAAAACAGACTTTTTCGAAATTTAATGAGATGGCATTTTTTAAAGCTCAGAATGTCACCTGCTTTTCGTCATATCACATCTGAATATATTTACACCTTCGACCAAGAACCAATGAACTACAAAATGGGCAACACGACATGAGATTGCCCCTGTCACAATGTTAACATGTACAGACACTATCTCTTGATTCTGCAGTGATCAATTTTCTAACACAATTCCTCGGGTCATGACACTGAAGTTTCCTTTATACAACTATGCATACTCTGTAAGTGTGTTTAATATCACCTTATCAGACAGCCCAACGTATTGTAAATGAAGTGCCTCTCTCGTGAATACATAATATAACAACATTACTTATAATTATATGTATACGTTACCATTGTCGGTCCCCCGAAGCTATGATTTGTTGCTGTCACTGTTGAAATATTCAGGTGGGATGGTTATGTTTCCCACCCAGTACGGCCGACATTACTTATCAAAAGTAACACATTTATGTTTTACGTGATTGTCAATCTGTATCTTACCTGTGCTGATATAAAATGTACTCCAGGCGTGTCCGTTTGTACCGGCGACGGGCCACGTGTTTCCTCTGTAAACTTTAAAACATCCTTCAATATTTTACCACACCACCGTCCCGTGGAATCAAGGACTGTAAAAAGTATTGCGAATGAGATGACTATAGACTGTCTATTTCGTAGTAAGACACACGTGCAAATCCCACAAGTACACAACAACCTGTCTCAGACGAGTACAGGTAGGCGGTCAAGTGTACATGTGTGTTTCTATGACGTATTGTGAGCGAGTAGTGGAGCATTGAAAAATAACACACAAGACCCTACAGTGCGCTGCAAACATTGTTTATCAGGAATTTCATCTTCGTTTGTTGGGGTTGGACGCAATTTTCCCCTCTAGCAAAGATACACATAAGATAGTATGAAAGGTTTGCATTACGGGAAAATGTAAAGAGAAGTTATGTGTCACAACGGGAATGTATTTACGTCCCTGGCTACAAGGAAAGAATAATTTAATTGAACTAGTATAGATACTGTTGTCGTTTTAACTATGCCTGCTTATCATTGTTTACACTGAAGAAGAGACCTGAGGGGCCTGTGCTGCTCACCTGGCTGTTTCAACTTTCACTTTTTTTTTATTCATAACTATGATATGTTGTATAGCCCTCATCCCCCTTTATTCTTCAACCAAAAAGTAGTCAAAATACCTACTGAACAGTCATTTCTATTTCATATATTTGGCATTATCAGAAAATGGATTTGAAACCTGTCCTTCCATTTTCCCTCAGTCCCGGGGGTGAGACCCACCGTTTACACAGATTTGGATTGTTATGACTTGGCCCAAGGAAGATTTCCTCTATTTTACCTACTAGACTACATCTTTCTGCCCACAGTGGGATCCGACAAACCATTTTCACAAGATTCGGTCTCCTTTACCCTAGGATGGTTTTTCGTAAAATATTTTTGTCCCAACAGAGTTCAAAGTTGTCCCCCTTTATTGTCACTGTTTGACCCCATCCATCTGCCACAGGGGATTCAAGCCCACCGTTTGTACAAAATTAGAGTCGGACTGGTAACAAGGATGGTTCTGGTCAAATTTGAAAAAAATCCTGTCTTTCTTACAGCAGGAGAAGTATTTTAAAGTTGTTATATATCCCATATAGGGCTCGTGCCTCGGCGGCCGGAGGGACTGGAACGTGTTGTTTGAACAAAACTGGTTCCTCCTCCCAAAAGGATTATTCTGACTAAAGTTTAGACAAAAAATCTTCATCAAAATAGAAGAAGGGTTTTTGAGCGATTCATCTACTTTGGCCCCGTTCCTTTCCCCCTTGGAATCGGACATTCTCCGTGTTTAAATAAGATTTGAGTCCCTTCACCAAAGAATGTTTCAGGCCTAATTTGGAAAAAAAAAATCGGGTAAAAAACTCGGCCATAAAGCGTACATTCTAATCTTTAACTTACCTCTACATACACCGTCCATCCAGACAATGACCTTTGTTTTTAGTGTGGCATGTACATTTAAATTTGTTTTCCCGATGTTTGACTGAGGACAGACTATTTAGGTCAAACTAATTTTGTGTCGGTTTACAATAGACAACCGGTGTTTCTGCGTATTTTGAAATTCGGGGTGCAGTTTAGTCTTACCGTTGTAGGACAATGCTCAGACATTTCTATAAAAGTCAGCACGTATTAAACAAATTGACGCCCCCTGTTAGTGTGATCTGTGCCTCTTATCGACCGAAAACAATGATAGTCTTATTTCATATTTTGCTTTCAATTTATACACATTTTTTTGTTTTCTTTTCTTTTTATTATTATTATTATTATTATTACAAGACAAGTATTTAAAGCGTATTTAAAATGCAGCTGTGTCTAAGGAATGTTAATATATACTTTTAAAGTGTCCCAGTATTTGGGTCATGTGACATATGATACAGCAGTTGTGGTTAAACAAAACAAAAAAAAAAAAACACCTGTGGGCCGGGAAACGATTCTGTTGTATGATTTGGTATTCGCCAGATTCAGAGCAAAAAATCTTAGGCTGTCAAAAGGAAATTAAAAAAGAAACAAAATATTAGAAATAAATAAATAAATAAATAAATAAATAAAATGTTTCCCAGGTGAGCTTCGATTTCGATTCTCTGCTATGTTTCCTACGGCATCGTGAATTTATTGGCTGTTTCACAAATACGTGGCGCTATTAAAGTAGTATATGTGCTGCTTAGGGAAAAACAGCCGATATGCTTAGAACCTTTACAATACTGACTTTTCAAAAATGAATATGCCTATATGTATTTTGGCAAGTAAACCTTGTACAAAATCCCCGAGTGGTTAGGTCATCTAATATAGCCATGATGTTATCAGATCAGCTATATTGTTGTATCGCTAGTCATTCACATCAAAATTCCGATTGTTGTATAAATACTTATTAATCATTATTACGTCCCTGGTTGAGAATCAAATGTCATTTTTGCTGCTTTATCTGTTAAATATTATCTGTTTTCTTGTTTTAGCGTTATTTGCCCCTGGTTGAGAACATTTTGTAGATTTATCTGTTAAATATTATCTGTTTTCTTGTTTTAGCGTTATTTGCCCCTGGTTGAGAACATTTTGTAGATTTATCTGTTAAATATTATCTGTTTTCTTGTTTTAGCGTTATTTGCCCCTGGTTGAGAACATTTTGTAGATTTATCTGTTAAATATTATCTTTTTTCTTGTGTTAGTGTTAGAACCCCTGGTTGAGAACATTTTGTAGATTTATCTGTTAAATATTATCTTTTTTCTTGTGTTAGTGTTAGAACCCCTGGTTGAGAACATTTTGTAGATTTATCTGTTAAATATTATCTGTTTTCTTGTTTTAGCGTTATTTGCCCCTGGTTGAGAACATTTTGTAGATTTATCTGTTAAATATTATCTGTTTTCTTGTTTTAGCGTTATTTGCCCCTGGTTGAGAACATTTTGTAGATTTATCTGTTAAATATTATCTGTTTTCTTGTTTTAGCGTTATTTGCCCCTGGTTGAGAACATTTTGTAGATTTATCTGTTAAATATTATCTTTTTTCTTGTGTTAGTGTTAGAACCCCTGGTTGAGAACATTTTGTAGATTTATCTGTTAAATATTATCTTTTTTCTTGTGTTAGTGTTAGAACCCCTGGTTGAGAACATTTTGTAGATTTATCTGTTAAATATTATCTGTTTTCTTGTTTTAGCGTTATTTGCCCCTGGTTGAGAACATTTTGTAGATTTATCTGTTAAATATTATCTGTTTTCTTGTTTTAGCGTTATTTGCCCCTGGTTGAGAACATTTTGTAGATTTATCTGTTGAGCAAGTTATCATGGTTTACCTATCTTGATGCATAACACAACACACTACTTGTATTAAATATTACATGCCATTCCTCCGCTCTAGTCCTAAATAGCTGATACTTATACTGAGGTATTTGTATGTAAGTACAATATGTTTGTCACCTAGGCAAGTCTAGCAAGCATTCAATACTGGGCACATCAAGATTAACACATGTTTTACTTCAGCATCTTTCCAGAAGAATTTACAGCGCAACTCAATACAGGGGAAGTAACGCCCACTGTGTTCGTAATCTTGACCACACTGTCAGACAAAAAATGGCAAATTGAACATCCGCAATATTCCTATACATACATCGTTTTTGTTCACCCTAACAGCATTAATCTTTACCACGGATAAATATATATAAGTCTGTGTTTTAATCACAAGAGGTGGATGGTTTAGACGGGTCTTGATCATTCAAAAGAGTAAGAAAGGCTTTTTAGCGAACCCATGTAACAAAATAATTTGTATGTTATGGCACTTAAGTTTTAAACAGGTACAGTTACACGGACAGCATTTCTTATCCCGATTAGATATAAATGGTTTACCTAATAGAGCTAGTTATCAATGATGATAATATCAACGACCATAATTAACAGCTGTATGATACATCAGTCATAAGTTTAACAAAAAATAGTAAAAATTTCAATAATTTTTCTCTGACAACCTCACCTCAACAGTTGTCTCTCTTTGAAAAGAGCCTGGCACACCTTCCAGTTAAGATAAAACTTGAAAAATATTCTTACAGAAGATATTAGAATTTGTCAAACCAGAATTTCCAATCAAACAAATATATATATAAAAAATAAGAATAAAGTATTTTCTTTTGTAGAATGAACAGCATAGAGACTATTTCTAATAGAAATTTTCAAGTATAAAAAAAAAACTGATGTAGATGACATTAACAAATCTATTCAAAGGAATCGTTCTCTGAAAATACATATGTAATTAAGGCTTTAAATAGAGTATTTAATATGAAATTTTATCAGTGACTAACATGTAATGACAAATTCTGAAACTGTGACACTGAACTTGTCATATGAAAAGTATTGTAAATTAATATACCATACCATATCCCAAACAAAATAATCGATGTTAATGCATACTACATGTCCATTGAAGTAAATTTAAGATTAACCAGTTTTCTTCATCACGTCAAATGGGAACTAAAAAGTTATCTTAATAAAAAAATGACTATGGTTTTAATAAAACTTACCAAATGTTACCAAACGTGAAATCAACAACAAGTATGTTTAAAAAAACAACATTTTCTCTTAAGTACTCAATTTTGATAGACATCTTGAAAATACGAAGATAAAAAAATTCAGGTCCTGATAAAAATTCATTAATTGCTGGTCGCAAGGTCAAACGTGCGCATGCAGGTGATTCGAGAGATGACTGATTTCACAGACAAATATATCACTCCTGTGATTATTTCAGAAAAGAAAACCGCCCTATTCGTGCCTAATCCATATGGTATAACAGCAAAGACTTTACAGCTAGCAACGATCTGACATTATAAACTGATTTCTGTCCAACGCTTAATGCTTATTCGAAAGAAGTTGAATTGAGTTGAAATTTAACAACAAGCCTTCTTAGAGTGTTGAGATTTATTTATTCTTTCTTTAAATGTGCATGCTAACACAATTCAATACATTTAGCTAAATGTCAGAAACACTGAGCTGAATTAACCAATGCCTCTGGCCGTCCAAACCTCTGATACCTATAAACATGCTTTTAAATGCTGAAGACACGTTTTCATCTTTACATTTAAAGACTTTAATAACAAATTACTAAATATTCAAATTGTAGAAAAAAAAAACAAAAAAAATCCCAGTAACTTAGGACATTTAAATAACAACCAGGTGTGAAGTACCAACATAACAACCAGGTGTGAAGTACCAACATAACAACCAGGTGTGAAGTACCAACATAACAAAAACAGAATTAAAACAGCATATCCTTCAATCAGAACTCTTCTATGATGGAGAGAATCATTTCCATATGTCCATCATCAGTACAAAGATTAAACTTCTCCTGGCAGAAGTAAGATAGAAAAATTGGCATTTCTACAGCTGATCATAATCAAGGCATCATTTTTCAATGCAACACAAACAAGAAGTTGTACAGTTATGTTATTTAACTTTTGAAACAAGTTTCTTGACCTTGGATATAATATTGTAGTGTGACAATAATCCCCAATGATCACTAGGATATTTTCCGCACTTTGGAGCACGTTCCAGTCCAACTAGTTCTAGATAAACAGGTTCAATGACAGGTGATTCAGCCCCTCTAATGTACAAGCGATCAAATCTTAACTTGGGCTTGAACTTCCCGGGGAAGGTTTTGTTGTCATTCCTCGACATGTCCCAGGTAAATGCTGCCTCTGGTCTTTGACCAGTCATCTCCCAGACATCTTTGATACCTGGAGGTGGACCTCCAATACCGGCTACCTACAAAAAAGTAACAAAATGACTTTTGATTTTTTCAGAAAAAATGAAATCACATGACCAATTCTAAAATGTATCTGGAAATATCTCCAACCCAAAAGTTTTACACAGATGATCAGTCAAAACCACATCACTGAAAAAATTTCAAAATACAATTCATGTTATGCTATGATGATAGGATAAATCATTTGTAGAATTTCTGTCCCTCACTTATCTCATAAAATTACTTCATTTTACCTCATTGGGACTTGGTATGAAGTATCAATCAATCAGAGAACTGTATATATGTAAGACAACATATATATATACCAATCTTAGTTGAAGAAATCAATCAGAATTTGAAACACTAAACAACTATGTTAAATACACATGTATTATGTATACAAATAGTGTAGTTAGTACACATCTTGCATATATTTTAAAATAAAGCATAAATTTTAAAAGAATGGTTCAGCGTCTGTTAAATTTGGCAACTGACATGAACTTTATATAACAACAATGGTACAACAAGAGGCCAATAGGGCCTGTATATCACACATGGCTTTGCTTGTCTGAAAATGCTTCATCAAAACTAAAGGAAAAGGAATTCTCAATACCCAAGCACACAACACACAACATATCTATTTTCCCATTGTGCCCAAACCCTCTGTCCTAAGGGTGTTAGCATTTAGCTTCAGCCCAAATTGAGACAGAATCCTAGGCAAAGCCCCTTTGGCCCCATGGGGCCGAGATCTACCGTTTATATCGAATTGACTCCCCTTCACCCTAAAATGCTTCAGACCAAATTATGGCAAAATCCAATCTTTCTTTCAGGAGAAGTAGGATTTTAAAGAATTTGATTTGATTTCCCCTATTGGGCCCCAACCCTCAGGCCCCAGATGGCCAGAGCCCCACCTCCTCTTTTCTCCAAGGATGCTTCTGACCAAATTTGGTCAAGATCTGCTCATTCATTCATGACTATTAACAAATTGTGGAAAAAGTGGATGAACTGACAGACGGACAGACGGCAGACACTCATAGTATGACATAAACTCACTGGTCCTTTTGACCAGGTGAGCTATAAAGTTGATGAACAGATGACAGACACATGCGGAATGGCATAACCTCATTGGTCTTTTTGACAAGGTGAGCTAAAACTGATTAACCAATTAGATTCATGCAGCCTGATTCAATATGCATAAATATATAAGTTAGGTTGAATATGAAATACATTGGACAATACTTAACTACATTATACTATAGACTTTGAACCAAGTAGAAACTGAATGAAATTTAAGATTCATCCAGAACTTAGCAATTACAGCAATTCACTGTGAAAACCCAAGATGGCCAGGCAAAGAACAATATGTCACAGGCAAGTGGATAATTACTATTGGAATTTTCTTTCATTTCAATATAAATGCATATGCAATACAAATCCTATCATGAGAAAATTGTTAATGCATATATATGTGATCTTGGAAGTCAAAACTAAAATACAAACTTCTTTGTCACGCAAGTTCAGATCTCCTCCAAATATGACCGTACAAGACTTTGAAGATTTCTGCATCACACGAAAAGCTTTTTGCAGCTGAGCCACACGTTCCTTGGAATGGTCTTTAGTACTTTCCAAATGAGATGTCATCAACACGAAGTCTTCTCCCTTGATCTTACACTGTAATAAGAACAGTCCAGATGACATGAAGATATAACACTAGCTTCAGCATGTCTGCACTGACCATGCCTTTTTCACTATTATAAATTTACGTTTACAAACAACTTCCAAATATTTAGACATTCAAACAGAGTCCAGGTCATATAGATATAAACATAAGGTAATTAAATCTTTTTCTCTGAAACTGAATCATTTTCTGAAATGTTAAACTTACTCATATTTGTGATTTTTAATTTTGGCTAATGCCATTTCACTAATAGTATCTAATAAACAAGAGATTTCTACTGGATCTTGGTGGCCAACATTCAATGGTTTTTGCTGGTCATTTGCAAGGCTGATCTTTTCCCCTCTTTACCCACTTTCCTTAAAATCATTTGATAACAAGAGAATCCTTCATCCTGATGATTTTGGGTTAAACATATGGTATATTAGGACCACTGTCAGGAATTTATTTTACAATTGTGAACTTCAATACATTCGGTGTCATTTCTGATTGTAAACCTTAAAGTATGATGCTCAGCATACTACTGGCTAAAGGCCATCACTCAGTATCTTATATAATGTGAAAAAATCAGTTAGCATTTTTTTTAAGATGAATTTGATCCTTGTAACTATTAATATCAATCCATTTTATTAGTTTCTAAACATTGCAGCAGTCCATATCAGCAAGTTACTGTCTTAATTTGAATATAGTTCTTAAAAAGTTGTTGGATTTAAAAAAAAAAAAAACAAGAAGATCATTATGACCTAATATACTGGCTTATGTCATTTCACATCCACAGTATCTATGAAAATGGAAAGCAAGCCCTTTCAAACATGTGAGATAAAGCTGATACGTGTACATACAAAAATGTATTGATGTATATGCATTTCTGACCTGTGTCACAATCTAAGCAATTTTTGAGCAGAATAAAATTTGTTAATTCATTCATGATGACAGATTAACTGATCTGCTTTCACTAGATAAACATTTACAATTCTATCAGGTTTTATTTCCATAGATTAGCCTTTCAGGTCACTTCACATCTGTTACACAAGTTTCTAGTATGTTGAAGAAGAGAAGTTGAATTTCTTACCTGTGCAAGCAGGAGGTTCCTCAGCATAAGTGTGTTAGGAAAGGGAAGTGTCTGGTGGTGTATCACCTCTACCATTCCTACCTTCACCAACATACAGGTGTAATATTCCTCTTTTCCTCCCGGAATTATCTGATATGTAGGACAGCCAGACTCCAAAATTGCTTGTGTTACAGATGTCACTTCCTGTAGAAACACAGCATGAGGGTTCTCTCTGTAACAGGAAAACGTACTGCCACATAAGAAGAATCAATATTTTGTCTATACAATCTAATTTTCCTCTATAGCCTTTGGCCTACATAAAGACCTATAGTGCATAGATTGACACTCCTTATGGTGGTATGTGTTTCTCAAAATGCCAAGAAATGGACCAGTCTGTGCTGGTGCAATTGCATCCTTGGGAATGACACTCCATCTGCATTGCTCTGTACGACATGCAACTGGCTTACCGTATGTTGTTCCGTGAGGGAGCAGACATTGTCTCACAATGGCCCAGACTGTTTACAGAGTGCTAAACCCAGCTAAAAACAAACTAATTTTCCTTTTCACATTCAAGTAAAATAGAGGTCCACCAGCCTTAAGAGCTGTCTGGCTATAAAGACCTATGTATGAAAGAAGCCAAATAGGTCTAAATTAAATTGCTCAACTGCTCTACATCTTATATAGACATATTGATTGTTGAAAAAGCATGTACGGGCCCAATATAAAGACTCTTGGACCTTCGGTTATTGAGAAGAAGTTGCTTAAGCATTTCAGCACATCTGATCCCTGTGACTTAAATCTTTTTTAAATATTTGACTTTGTGACCTGGAAAAATGGTTAAGGTCAATAATATTGACTACTGTGTAGCCCTTCCCAGCATGCTACAGGCGAAATACCAGCATTTTCGGCCTTTTGGTTTTTGAGAAGAAGTTGTTGAATTTATTTTATTTATTTGACACCTGTGACCTTGACAGTATTGTTAAGTTCATAATGAAGTGAACTTTACATTAACTGTTAAAGCTATTTATTTCCATGACACCATTTTCTTTGTCTTTCCTTTTTTTATCAAGTTAAGCAAGACTTTGTTGTTACACCTACATTTTGTGCTGAAGTAAAGAATTATGTAATGTACACACTTGTTGATGGTGTCACAAACAGCTTTGGTCCTTCTCTGAACAGCAACATCATCAAGTCCGTCTATGTTCCAGGACATCAGGCGAATCCTGTGTGGTTCTGGATCAATCTCTTCTTTTCTGTAAAATGTAACATACCATAAAAGTTAATAGATGCAACAGTGAATGGTATATTACATCATTGCTCCTATTTGACTGGCCTAACAGTCTGATCATTCTGAATGAACTGGATTTGACCTAATTATTTCAAGTCCAGGTCAGTTTTTACAACACTGATGTATAATAATACATTACTTCTAGTATTTATAGTAAAGCATTGGATACCTTGATTGCTTGCAGTATTCCACATCCTCTTCATCACTTTTAATCTTTCTCTTTAAGTTTGCTGTTTCTTGTTCACTGTGTGCTTCATAAAATTTGTTTAGGGCAGTCTGCAAAAAACTTTGTTGCCAATTTTGATACAAACAATTTGTCATTACATTGACTGAAAATCTCAAAATGCACATGACCAAAAATATTTCTGAACTATGTAATACAGTTAATATTAATTGAATGTTGGCTCTTATGTGATCAGACACAAACAAAAAGAAACACTATATCATAGTTATCCCTGGTTTGACACTGAGGTGTTTGGCAGCTGAGCTAAATTAATTGGAAATGTTAAATGTAGATATGATAAACTTGCATTGATTGGCTCACTTTTATTTGCAATCAGGTCTAGGGGGCATCACTGCAATATGGGTTGTTAAGTTTAGAACTCTTTTGTGTTTGAATGCTGAGTTACCAGCATGTGTTTGTCATAATACTGTCACATTTGGTTTACTATGCCAAAATATCAATGTGTGTCAGAATGTCAATTTTTTTGCAGATAAACAATAGATTCAATGTAAAATGTATTTGAAGATTGATTCCCTGACGAAGGAATGCAACAGGAAAACAGATGGGGAGACAGGCCTCTTCATACACATATAGTTACCCAGAAATTCTGACTGTGACATGCCATATTATGTATAAAATATGTTGGATACATGTGTTATTACACTTTATACGTTATTCATACCTTTGCTATTCTACACCTGGCAGCATAATACATTTTTCATGGGTAGGAGAGTGCTAGTCCCCACTAGTGAGTCAGGCTGAATTGAGTATCAAACTTACTTACTTTTAATTTTCCAACATATCCAATTTGTGATATCCATACTTTTTTGTTGTAGTGAAATGTGAAAGAATATGACAACATACTGAACACCCATTTGAGTTTGATTGTTAAAAATTTTGTTAGACCATTCACAAAATACATTGACATTATACTGTAACAAGGTGACTTTTGATGATACACAAGATGTTGTAACTTAAAATTTGTGGAGCATTTGATTCTGTTTCTGCAGTAACGTGATATAACAAGTAACATGTTTTGATTCATGATCAACTGAACTAAATTATAGGAATAATTGTAATGATTAATTATGATTATCATTGATGTTTTGGAAGTAAACTGAAGGTTTCTATGGATAGCGGTTATTTCAATATTAATTTATGTTCATGATGAGATCTTGGAACACTTTTTGGGGTCATGCAGCACAGTGAGGCTTTTCACCTAGCCATCCAGGGTTCAATTGCTGAACAGGCTTGAAAAGGTTAGGAGTCACCTGCCCCACCATGTGGGTTTTCCCGGGTACTCAAGTTTCCTCTCGCAATAAAACCCCTTGCGTACTTACATCTAGGTCAGCAAGAGTGACTTATTGAAATAACTTGTTTTGCAACTGAACTGTTGTAAAAATAAATAAACACATACATGTGCCTGTACTGTTGTTCAGGTAGGTGAATCCATTTTTATCCAACTTAAAATTACCTGTGCAGCCAGTCTGCGTAAGGCATTACCTGTATGCGTTTCTATTCCATGCATATACTCATATGCTGGGTTTGGAGGTGTGATGTCTGACCAGATATTGGCAGAATTACTAGTGGCCGCATTTACCAAGTGTAATACATTATAACATGTGTTAAGAGAGTGGCCATGGACTGGGTCTCACTATTCGATCATGCAAGCATGCTTTTTGACACTCTCCTCTCATATATCTGTCACAAGGTACTAGCTGTATTGTACAACTTGTCTTATTCCTATTTGTATACTTGTAAACGTAAATCCCTCTCGTCCTCTTTCCCCATTCATGCATGTTTGTATAAAGTTGCGTTGTAAAGAATGTATATTGTGAAAGAAAATTTATATTGAATTAGCATCTTTGCTTAATCCAGGGGAAGTAACTCGTACATGACTATATTTAAGTTTGTCATATAATTACACCTTCGATTATTACAGGAAACTTTATCGAAACGTGTACGATTGTGTAACAACATATACACATATTAAGACTCAAGAGTAAAATGAGACGATACTGATTTTAGAATCTTAGTTCAGTTACCATCTATTGTCCGTTTATCCGTTCATCAGTATGTACCCCTATAGTCAGGTTTACCTACATCAACATTCCATTCTACGTCCTGTAAATAGAACATGGCCAAAGCTGTATCCGTTCCGGTGACCTCGGCAAACTTTTGGCATCGCGATTCACACTCTTCGCGACTCGGAAGTGCACTGTCATCTTGACTGTCATCTTCGGAATCGCTCATCTTGCTTTTCCCGCTTGAAATCGGAAGTTGAATAACTATTAATATAGAATAAACACGGACACAACAAAAAAGTCCGGAAAACAGTAAAAATCCTTATCGATACCGAGTTTCATTGTACATGAATGCAGAGTATTTATTCATACTCTAAGTCGTTAATAAATAAAGCAGCTTTATTTGTTTTCGTGTATATATCTATATATTTTTTTTAAGTTATATTGAATAGGCACATTCTACAGATATCTAACGCAATGTGATCAATATTAAGTGCAAATTAACAACTTTTATGTGAGGGATTTTTTTCTCTCTCAAACCAGAGACATATGTCGATAAACCACTGTTTGTCAATTAGACCAATGTACCTGATGACTCAATTTCAAATAGCACTTAGTAATTAAATCCACACAATACCGTTTTAAAAACTAAAGCTATTATGTGGTTTGTTAGTGATAAGTGATAATGAAATTGAGTCAGCGAGTACCTGTGAACATGTCAAGGTATATTCATATTTTAATCAATGGTTAGGAAAGGAAGCTCAATGTCAGTTCTGCGAAAAAAAACAATGCGATAGCTTTTCAAGGCTGACTCCAGACGCCATTTAATTGCTTTTTAATCACTAATATGTTAATTTGAGTTTGCTATAATTTTGGTTGCATTATCTAAACATATACAGTATATGCATATGGGGTGGTCGTGTGGTACAGAGGTAACACACTTGCCGCCTTTCACATCGAAGATCACAAAATGTTAAAAAAATACTGTTCTTTATGTGTCATTTCCGTTATTTCTTATTTTCAGAAAGTCTCGTAATCAAAGAATACATCATAATTTATGGGAAAAGCACTGGTCTTGTCCATTTTCAAGAATGGTCATATACAATGTCCCAATAATGATAGACCTATAGCCTTATCAAGCACTGTAGGGAAGGTATTTGGAAACGTTATCACATAGTTCTTAATTTTTAATAGAAAATTTATTAATATATAAATACCAATTTGGATTCCAGCCAGGTCATTCAACAGTACATCAACTAATTGAAATTTATCATAATGTGTGTAAAAGTTTAGAAAAACGTAAACACACGTCTTTTTTTTTTTTTTTTTTGATATCTCAAAAACATCTGATCGTGTTTGGCATACAGGTCTTGTACATAAAGCTACGGAATCACTGGAAAGCTTCTAAACTGGCTATCGGATTACGTTAATAATCGTTCCCAACAAGTATTTATTCATAATGTTACTTCTCGTTTTAAAACAACAAAATGCTGGTGTATCACAGGGTTCTGCCTCGGGTCCACTTCTTTTTCTTTTGTATATAAATGATATAAGGCATAATCTTGACAGTATTTCCTGTCTATTTGCAGATGATACTTCCTTTTCAATCTCTTCCAACTCCCCATCGAACTGGAAACTACTACTAACAGAAATCTTGAAACAATTCAAAACTGGACAGAAAATTGGCTTGTAAAGTTTAATCCCAATAAAACGGAAGCGCTTCTTATTTCGAATACCAGTCCGGAACTTGACATAAATTAAGTTTTTAATAATGTTGATGTCGATTTTATTGAGCATCATAAACATTTAGGCATTTGTCTAGATGCCAGTTGTAAATGGACTAATCATATTGATAATATTGGGATACTTCGTAAGTTAAAATATGCTTTGAATTTATCTTAGTTTGATACTGCATCTGTTCGAATATTGTTGCGGACGCTGATAAACTAGAAAAACTACAGCTTAAAGCGGCGCGTAATGTCACTGGTCTGCCTTCATTTACTAGCAGAGTATCTCTTGATTTCGAGACTGGTTGGGAAGTCTTATCTAAACGACACACTCACCGCAAACTTCAACTTTTCTATAGAATTCACAACAATATGACTCCCTTATACCTAACAGACCTTCTTTCCCCATTAGTATCTTCCTTAACTCAATACAACTTGAAAAACTCCATAAGTTAGTCCATTCATAATTTTCGTTTACAATCTACTCTTAATTCTTTCACACCTTCTACGTTAAGATTGTGGAATGATCTAGACACTAATATTAAAACTGCACCCTCTTTTAAGATCTTCAAAGAGCGTTTTTCACAACAAAATGAAACATTTAATGTACCTGATTACTACCTAGTTGGAGATCGGAAGCTAAATATTTTATAAACCAAACTCCGCCATAAATGGAGCCCTTTTGCATGTGGTAGATATAACGACTAACGTTTTGCCATGTTCAGAAACCTACATAAATATTTGCCGTTCAGTTTAGATAAATTATTAATTGGCCATGGAGACTACTCAAGTGATGACAAATTATTTATATGTTTCCAGCTGAACATATTGAGTACTCGCAGGTTTTAGACAGGTCACGTTCCACGTTCTTGTGTCTCTCTATGAAATCGCATAATTATTTGTTTCCAATTAGTTTAATTTGTGTCCAAATTTTCATGGCTCGCGAGCATGCTTGTGTTGTGTGATAGCAGGATTCGGTTGGTGTGGTTAAATGTATAATATAGTGTAAGATATGTTTAAGATGTATTTTGTAAGAATATATTTATTTAGCCATGAAATGCGAGCAAATCTCTCTCTCTCTCTCTCTCTCTCTCTCTCTCTCTCTCTCTCTCTCTCTCTCTCTCTTTCTTTTAAACGATATGTATATAATTATTTTGAGCCATTTTGTAATGTATATATGCTACTGTTTTTCTTGTAAATGAAAGAGCGTTCATAATGTTATCGTAACTTGTGTCCAATCTTTTTGCTTATATTTATGTTTAAACAAATAACCATCGACGACCGTGGTAAAGACATGAAAATGTTTGTAGTCACCTGCTCAATCACGTCGGTTTTTCCCAGCCCCGCCGGTACTCCGGTTTCTTCCCACAATAAAACACCTCTTGTGTGCTATTCTGGCCAAAAATGAGCGATCAATGATCCCAAGTCGTCACTTTATACCACTGACTTAACACATTTGGATGCAATTTGGTGGGAAAAGTTGTCAATGCGGGAATTAACACATTTGAAAAAGGGAACGACGGTGACCCATCACGCGGATTATAAGTACTTAGTCGTTTTTGGTATTTTCTCCCTGTAGAACCCACTTGGTCACCACTGTTGCAATAGCAATATTGAAGCAAATCGGAAACACTAAACGGTCGACAGGTCTCCATCTTTAAACTTGCGAGTTAAAGATTTTTACCACTATTTCCTTAAAAACATCTTTCCTAAGATTCATATGTAGGCTCAATATGGCCCCCTAATTTCACAATTTTTTGTTTTTATTTTGGCAAGCAGTTTTATTACGAAAACAATAGTATATCTATTAGGACGCGATGTTAACGTTTACCAACATACAAAGACAAATATCCCGTTTTGCAAAGACTTATCTATATTTATTTGGTATCGGAACATAGACAATCTAACAACATATGTCATACAAGTCCAAAATACCGTTGACTTTTTGTTATCTTCATCTACAATGGACACAGCGGGATCGGGAAATCTGGGGAAAATGCTTTCCAATTATGATAGGGCACAGACACAGTGTAAGCTTCCATTAATGACAAGGCAAGATTAAAGCACAGTGCAAGATCCCAATATTCACAAGACAAGATAAAGAAATAATGCAATAAAAATGGTACATAAGGCTTGTATTGTTTAAAGCACTTTTTCATGAGTTCATGCCATGTCAACAACTGACAGATTTCTCATAAATAAATGTAATTGTTTCTTGATTAAAATCATTCTGTCCTGAACATTTTTATGTAAGATCTATATCGTGAATATCAATGGTCTTCATCGCCTGTATGAGATTGATCAAATCTGCAGACATGATGACACAGATGACTGTTACAATGATGAAAGCACCTGACATGCCCAAGACCTTACTTGACAAGCGGCTGTCGTATACACTGATCTTACGCCTAGTGTACGACGATAAACTCTTTTTGTTGACTTTTAGATCATCGATACTATGATTCGTGATCACCTTTGAGAAACAAACACATCTACACGTACTGTTCACTATGACGGAAGTGGTTGATCCCGGCACGTTGTAAACAGAACTGGGTGAGATGTAATCTAGAGTAGTTGATGAAATGCTAGCTGGCATTGTTTGGGAGACAATGACGGAAGACTCGGTGCTATGTAGCGACATCATACTGTCCGGGACGTAATTTGTGGATTCTGTTAAATCAGACGAATACAAATCAGACGACACCATTGGATCAGAGTCTGTTGGAGATAAAAACGAAGACGATATAGTGCTGGTTTGAAGCAACCTTGTAGTGAACGATGTAGTCAGTGGCGCGGACGATGTCGAAAATTCGAGATAGGAAGATGTGGTGTGAAATTCTGCTGTGGTGCTGCTTGCTTGTCCTGTAGACGTCGTACTTGGTTCAGCAACATTAGTATTCACTGGTAAACAAGGCAAGTCTGTCGTATTTACTGACGGGGTCATGTGTGTTGAAGCAAATGACACTGAAAAAGAAGCACGGTTGCTGTGTATAAATATTGATATAATATCATGAATGCAATATCAAAATAATATGGTATCATACTTGTTCTCATCTTCTTATTGTTGTTTTAAAAGGATACCTTTCATACTATTCATACGGCGAGAGTGAAGAGAGGAAATATATAGCGAGCAAATATGTCGAGTGCGCGCGTTTTCGTGAAGCTGCGATAGGTACGTATAAGAGCCGTCTTTACAGGTAACCAGCAGGACACGCCACCCCAGGCAGGTCACACCGACAACGGGGAAAACCAGTCGTTACACTACCATAATGCTAAATGTTAAGTAGGAACTACCATTTTTAAGGACTGGTATGTCTTGGTCAGGAGATGGAGTTAACCTTCAGCTTCCTCACGGATGCGAATGTAGGCCTACTGCTCCATGACAAAAAGTGAAACGGTATCATGGGGGACACTAAAAAGAAAATGGAGGGATAGAATGAGGAAAAGGTCATATCCCAATGTAATTCCCTCTTATGCCCTACCTCCACAATTAACAGGCTCTCTGCATCAT